GGTATCAAATTACTCCACTAAAAATTATAAATATAGGTCCAGTTTTTCTGGTAGTCCCCATATAACGGGGCCCCTAAATTTTTGCTATTTTGGGGGTTCTGATCGTTTTTTTCGACCGACTTGACTGTAATTTAGTACGTCGAGTTCTTATTAGGTAGCAAATCTCTCCACTATAAATTATAAATATAGGTCCATTTTTTGGGTAGCCCCCATATAAGGGTATCCCCCAATTTTCGGTATTTTGGAGTTCTTGAACGCGTTTTTCAACCAAATTTTTTGTAACTTAGTTTTTTGTAGTCGTATATGGTAACAAACCTCCCTTCCAAAAATTATTAATATTCGCCCCCTTTTAGGGGTAGTCCACATATAACCCCCTTTTTATACCCTTCACCACACTGTGGTACAGGGTATTGTGTCTTTGTGCATATGTTTGTAACAGGAAAAAATTCGAAATAGACCCATGGTTCCTTTTGAGAATATGCATAGAATCACTTTCTGAGTCGATTTATGCATGTCCGTCTGTCCGTCAATGTATTTTTGTTGACAAAATACAGGTCCCATTTATGATCCGATTTGGATGAAATTTGGCAAATTGGAGAAAATCGGTTCAGATTTATATATAGCTCCCACATATATTTTCGCCCGATTTTAACTTATTGATGCACCAAACTCCCAATAGTGATCCGATTGAGACAACATTTTGCACAGAGTATTGAATTAGGTCTAGATAGTTATATGCCAAGTTTTGTTGAAATCGGTTCAGATTTAGATATAGCTCCGATTTTTAGTTTCGTCCGATTTAATGTAAATAGTGCACCAAACTCCCAATAGTGGTCCGACTAATGCAAAATTTTGCACAGAGTACTGAATTAGGTCCCGACAGATGTATGTGAAATTTTGTTGGAATCGGTTCAGATTTAGATATAGATATAGTGTCGTCCCATTTTACGTAAATGAAGCTCCATACTGCCAATATTTATCCGATTGAGACAAAATTTTACACAGAGTACTGAATTAGGTCCCAACTGATGTATGCGAAATTTATATATCTACAGGATATTGTAGATATTAACATGTCTTGCATGTACCCATAGTGGTGAAGGGTATCATATAATCGGTCCCGTCCGACTTTTGAATTTTCCTTACTGGTTTAAATAATGTTTATAATATCTTGGTAGGCCATAAGGCGTGGATTTTTTTAATCATTTTCATAAGCGATGGATAATTTTTTATAGATCATCATTTTATAGATCATCATGGATCATTTTTTTAATAATTTTTATAGGCGTGATTTTTTTAAATTCATAGGCGTGGTTTTTTTAATAACTTTTGGAGGCGTGAATTTTTTTCAAAAAAATTTATAGGCGTGTTTTTTTTAATATTTTTTAGAGTCGTGAATTTTTTTAATACCCGCAATAAATCTGAAATGAAAAGAAAACCACTCAAGGAAAATCCTGCCTGAGACAATGAATGGGTGGCGTACTTTATATGTGTATAACAATTCCGAATAATGACTCTAGTATTAATATTAGCTACCAAATCATCTACAATAAACTTTGGCATATAATTAAACCGAACATTAATTTTATAAATCTTCTTTCTTTATAAAATTTATAAACACCTTTGATAATTCGATTTTCTTTCTAATAATAATCATAAAATTGTCACATTAACCTCGAACCTGTCAGATGTTTATATTGTGGCGTTAATCTGTTTAATACATGAAGCTCAAACACCATTCATTCGATTTGATTTGCTTTGATTCCAATTCATGCCACATACCACCATCACAATCATGTCATGAAACCTCAGTCATTTCAAAATACAATTCAAATAGTATTTGAATCTCCAACCTTTGGGTTTTCTTCTCTCATCGCAGCCATTCGTTCACTCAGCTGTTACTGGCCACCGTCATCACAGATTCCATTATATGGTTGATTTTTATAGATTTTACAGTTGCTGACTGTCTGTTTGACACAAGAGCAATAGCCAGCACTTGGAAACCATAGACATTTGCTGCTGCAGCTACTAACCCAAGCAAATGCTTTTGATGGCGGTGATGATGATGGTTATAGCCACTGCCATCGCTTTTTTATTTGTTGTTTTGTTTTGTTGCAAGAAGAGATGAAAACAACCGCCGCTAATAATTGTAATGATTGGTAATGGTATAACGGCACATTAAAAGAAATTAAGAGGAAACAATATTAGAAAAAAAGTAAGTTGTTTCCCGACTTTATGGACTTCGTTTGTTCGTTCGTTTTGCATTTGCCTCATTTGAGTTAAGTGTTGAGTTCCACCGATTGTTGTATTGCCACAAATGTTGTATTCGGCCATTGTCTGTAACTAATTTATTTACAAATAAAAATGTTGTAATACATTCCAGCGGTATGTCCATGTCAGTCTCTATTACCTTGAACAAGCTGTTGAGGGGAATATTTAAACATTTTTTTTTTGTTTTTGCAATTTTTTCAAACTTTCCAGCAATTATTGCATGCGAACATGTTGAAATATTTAAAAAAATCGTTAATTATGTTTGTATATACAACAAATATGTAAAATAATATGAGGATTTATTTTGGAAAGGCAGTTCAGACCTCAGTAGCAGATTATTTTTCATTTATCCTAAAAGAAATATTTTTTGTAAATAATATAAAATAAAAAATGAACATTTGTTCTGCAGTAAATAATAATTCAGCAGAACCTAGATTTGATATTTATAAAACAAATCCAAAGTTAATAAATATACAATGGTTTCTAAATGGATTAAATTTTTATGTTAACTGAGTGTTTGGTTTTTATAAAAAATATTTAGAAGCTGGGAGCAAAGCAGGCATCAAATGGGCAACCATCTATTCCCCAACACAACCACTGCAGGTCTTAAGCAGTCTGCGGAGCAATATGCTAACCATGAGTAACATTTCCCAAATTTCTCCCAAACTACAAGTATGTGTATTTTTGTGTGGTTTTGGTAATGGCGCCCAACCAATGTAAAGTTCTTATGACTTCTCCCACATCTGACACGTCATCAAAAGAATGTCTGAATATTTAGAGGTCAGAACTGCATACATTCATACACACATTATGTCATAAAATTAAGATTTATTAATTTCTCACTAAGTCCACTTGGTCTGCTAATTGCCGATCATCACACATATATGTTTATTCGTTGGACGGATCCCCTTACCTATGTAAAATTTTGGCGAATATTCCAAAATGTCAAACCTTTAGAAGAGACAAAAAATGCAACAAAATTAAAACAATGTTTGTGACGGAGGACCTTGCAGTAGCCGAAGAACTTCTCCCCCATTTTTACTTCAGACGAGGTCCTAAAACAATCGGCGAACATCCCGAAATGTCACACATTTAAACCTTTAAAAGAGACAAAACATGCAGCAAAATGAAAACAATGTTTGTGACGGAGGACCTTACTGTTGCCCCATTGGACAACTTTACAGAATAAAAGGAAGATTTAATTCTAATAGCCAAAATGATACCGATTGGCGCCCAAACAATGTATGTTATGCCAACCAATATAGAAAAGGGGCGATATCATTATAAGGGGGAAAATATTAACACGAAAATTTGCATGAAAACTTTTCTGTGAAAAACCCGAAATGCCAAATTACAACTTGCCTTCCAAGAAGTTCTGATCCCTGTTAAAATCCTAAAATTGCCCCTGGGGAGATGTATTTTGTCCTCCAAGAAACCGGAATGCCAAATTTTAAATTCAGACCCTGAAAATTCCTTATATTATTATATTAGTAATGTTCTGTTCCCTGTTAAAACCCTAAAATTATGATTCCAAATACCCAATTACAGCCCATTTATACTCAAAAAGATACCGAATGGCGCCCAATCAATTTATCATAGTAAATTCCAACCATTATAGAAAATGGTACCCTTATAGGGGGATTTTGCCAACACGTGAATCTGTATTCACAATTTCCTGCAAAGAAACCGGAATCTCAAATTACAGCCACTTCGTTTGGACCCAGAGCTCAAGAAACCGGAATGCCAAATTTTAAATTCAAACCCTGAAAAGACATAAAATGAGATATTGTTTATCTTCCGTTTCCTGTTAAAGCCCTAAAATTAAGATTTCAAAATACCCAATTACAGCCAATAAATCCCCAAAAAGGTAGGGAATGGCGCCCAACCAATGTATGGTAGTAAATTCCAATCAATATAGAAAAGGGTATCATTGTCAATATAGAAAAGGGTATCAAATAAATCTAAAATAAAGTGGGAGTTTCGTATAGGAACATGGATCTGCACTGAAATGTTTTATGCATATTACTTTCATTCTCTAAGATTCTGGAATGCGAAATGTCAATCACTTTGGTTGGAACAATATTTTTTTTCGCCACCACGGGCTCGAAATAGCAAACGCAGCCACATTGTTCGGAACCAGGACTATGTTAAAAAGGGAAGAGAAATCTTTGTATAGGGGTTATGTTATATTATAAATATTTCTCACATATGAACCGTAAAATGGTCGGAATCGTTTTAGTAGACTATTATCGAATAATTGTCAAAACACAGTCACTTCTTCTGAAATCTCATTCTGGTGCCCTGAAAACATTTAATGTGGCCTGGAACCCTTTTTATGGGGGTTATACCAAAACATGGCACTATTTCGAAAATGTTCTGCAAATTAAAGCCACGTTGGTGAGAATGTGCGACATTTTGTGGAACTTTTTTATGGGTGCTATAGAGCTGAAGTGGGAGTATTTTCTATATTTTTTTACTGTAAAAACTTCCTCAGCATTTAGAAAAAATACTAGAATATATTCCCATTCAACCTAACCTTAAATTTGTTTAATATTTTCCCTTTTTCTCTCTCTCTTTCTCCAACAGTTTCCCCATTTTTAAATGTCTCGCCTTTTGGCCGTCGTGGGACACCAGCCGAATATTCAATGCATGTCTACGTAAACACTCGCCACAACAACAACAACACCACCAACAAAATTTTTTCTTCATTAGCTCTTTCCCCTCTATCTCCCACAATTGACTTTGCAACTCTCGAAAAATGTCAGAACCACTTAGTAATGATGTCAGCACCGAATCCTTGTGTACAGTTATAGAGACCAGCAGTAACGAATATCTATCAAATAAATTCTCTAAAGATCCCATTAAATGCGTTTCACTAGAATCCCTCGATACCAATCGGATATCACCAACAACAAATAATCTCAAATCAAATGGTTGTCTGCGTAATTCCTTGGACGAAAGCTGTGATACGGACACTACTGAAAAGTCCATAAATTACGCCACAACCGAAGAAGAAGGCGAAGTGGTCGAGAAGAAACCGAAAACAAAATTAAAAAAATCCGTATCCTTTGATCCGAATGATGAGAAAATCAAGAAATTTATTGCCGGTGAACCGATAGTTGATCAACAGAATCCTTTCAAAACAAATGGTTATTTAAATACCACGAATGGTGGTAGTGCCAAGCGGAAAGATAAGAAAACCCCTCCACCAGTACCAGCGAAACGCTCAACACTAAGTGTCCGAAAGACGGTGACCCAACAGTTGCGCGAACGTGAACGCGAAAAGGAAAAAGAACGAGAGAGGCAAAAGAACGAAGCCAACAATCGGAAAAGTAACGGTATCATCAAATCACCCTCCGATGAATTTGTTACCACAGAAGAGGTCCTAAAACAATCGAAATACGTTAAAACCTACATTAAAAATCCGGATCCATATTTTGTATACGATCCCACAGTATTAGCTCGTTTAAAATTTGAAGAATTACGAGATATAGCATTAAAAAAGCCACCAAAGAGGACAATAACACAAGGGGCGGCGGCGCCACAGCCCCAACCGCGGGAACGGCTTAAGGAATTGAAAAATCGCCAAAATGAAAATAGGCCCACAAAAACGCCAATAACATTTAAAAAGTGCTCGAAACCGAATTATCCGGATTTATCCGATCTGAAAATAAAAACTGGCACCGATCTAGAAGACAGTCTCTATAATCCGTTGGAGGTTACAAAAAACGCCAAGAAGTTTGATGAACGTGTCAAGAAACTGCATATATCCTCAGATGATGATCTAGACGAAATTGAGGAGCCATTAACAAAAAGTGAATCCAGTGATGATAACAATATGAGCGGAACCCAGCAGGAAACCGATAAAATGCAACAAACTAATGATAATAATAATTGTGGCGGAGAACCTTGCAGTAGCCGAGAACCTTCTCCACCACCCACAGGCACCTTTACCAATACCATTAAATCGAAAGAATTCCAAGAATATCTTGAAAAGAAAGGTCTCACTTTAATACCCAAAAAGATACCGAATGGCGCCCAACCGATGTATGGCAGTAAATCCCAACCAAATATGTCTGCCATAAAACAAATAAGCTTTAAGGCCGAACCTGAACGCATACAATTCAATAGCAATGGCTCGGATAGTGTAGATGCAGCTTCGCGTAATAATAAACCTTCAGTATTTCAGAGGCTTTTGGCTAATAGTATTTTTGCTTCACGTCGCAAGACAACACCCAAAGAACCGGTTCCTATAATTAAACCCTTATACGATGGCAACAATGAAAATGGTTCCTTGAAACCCATTAAACGGGTTGTGCTCGAACGTCAAAGTTTCCATGGCAGGCCAAAGGCTGGCAATCTCCTAAGTCCCGCCGAGGCCTTGGAGTTGAAACAACAACTGGAGAGGTCACGCAAAAGTTATGCCAGTGGTGATGACATCTCTCTATCGATCTCAAGTGCTTTGACAAATGCCGAACAGAAAGGCAATGAGAATCTCACAAACACCATAATCAAATCCAATACCATAGGTACCCCGGGATTGAGAAGAAAGGAATTGCAAGGCAAGTCCATAACCAAACCACCTAGAAGAACTTTGTCGCGTGAGAGAATTACAAAATATGAACCGCCCAAAATGGTACTCAGTGAAAGGCCAATAAATGTCAACAACAATCTTTACACCTTGGCGAGGGAAACTGCAGCCCCTGCCAACCGGGAAAAGAGTGATACGAATTTTAGACGAACCCTGGATCGTCAAAGTATGATACCAAAACGTACAACTCAACAACAGGATAAGCAACAAGTTTTTGGTCGATCTTCATCAATGGATCGTAATGAAATTTTGAAGAGAAATGCAAATCGTGGCGCCCAACAGCCGAATGCACAACATCAAAGGTCAAACAGTGTGACGGGGGAGGCTTTATTGGCACCCATCACCACAAGGACGGGAGATAATGTACAAGAGACCACATTCCCGGTAAATGATGGACCACCCATTACCTCAACGCCCATACGAGGTGGTGGCGGAGAGGGTGCAAACATTAATACGAAAAATATTTCACCAATTTCCTCAATACCCAAGAAAGCATCCCAATTGGGTGTCTATGTGGATCAGCAGGAGTGGGAACGTTTAAGAGCTATTAAAGAACAAACAGATCGTGAATTATATTATCGGGTTATGCAGCAGCAACAGAAAATACAACAACAACAACAGCAACAAGATCAGCAGCAGCAACAACAACAAAATATGAAGTCTAAGGATCAACAAAATATGGCTTCACCTTCCCAAAATTCCGGAAAATCTTCACAAAATTTGGAAAACATATATGAACACTTGCCCGGTGGTAGTCAAGTGCGTCTGACCTCGGGCCCCGATGGACAGTTTGTACGAGGATCACCACAACGCAATACTTTTTCTGGGGTAATACGCACCAATGCCAATCGCCAGGTGAAAATTATTGATGGTAAACCTGTTGTCGCCCCTGAGCCCATGGCAGCCAATAAAACCAATCAGCAGAATTCCATGCCTCGTTGTCAAAGTGTTTTGGGTAATGTTACCGGCAGGGGATATGAAAGTGAAACTCCCGAAACCCCAGTAGTGCTACGACGCAAAGGTGAAGGTAATCAATCAAACCAGACCACAACCAGACGTATTGGTGGCCTATTGACACGGGAAGAAATTCTTCAAAAAATTAAAGAATTTTGTCGCAAGTCTTTGAATAAAACGCCAACCAATCCCCAGCCAGCCCCATTACAGGCTATATATGAGAAACAGCCAACAGCTACAGATTTGTCACCGGTTTCATATGTCTCCGTGGAGACACATCAAAGACCTGGGTCACGTATGTACGCAGCTCCCCAGGTGCCACAACGTATGCACAGCCTACCAGCCCCGGCACCGGGACATTTTGTGCCCATTGCCCAGGAAATAGTTACCGATCCCAATACCAATTCTCCCATTTATGCCCATGTTGTGAAGCGAGGCAGCCTTCAATCCAATCAATCGGAGCTATATGAAATACCACATCGCACAGCTATAGTGGCACCACCAACCCAATATATTATACGACGTGAACCAGCTGAGCTGAAGCCTGTCTATATACGTCCAGCTGGAACTTTACAAAGACCTGAAAGTGCCTTTTCTCCAGCGCCCACACAATACATCCTCGTCGATGGTGATAAATTGCAGCCAGCACAAATTATTACAGCCTATCCGCCGGCCACAGAGCTATATGCCCAACCCCAATATATACGACCCCATCAGCTACAAAGTATGCCCGGTGCAGCAAGTTATGGCTACATAACAGTTCGAGAACCCCTCAATATACAACCGCAAATAATACGACCCCGTTTGCACGACGGACGTAGTACTCCATTGATACTTGATCGCTCAAGTCAACAAGTGAGTCAAATCTATTGGACACCGCAACATCAACGGCTGCAACAGCAGGCGGGACTATTAACGGATCAGATTAGTCCACGTTACGCTCTAAAGCAGTCATCGGCAGTGATGATGACAACAGCAGGTGGTCCATTGCAACAACAACAGTTTCAAAATCGTGCTACAACACCCCTAATAATGCAGCAGCACCAGCAGCAACCATCTCAACTTTCACCCCATTTACAAAACATTCCATCACAACAACAACATCAGCAGCAACGGCAATATTCTGCATCGCCTCTAATTAGGGAGTCCACTCCCAGCCAGCAAAGTATGCACCACAAGCCGCAACAGCCACAAATTCAAGAATTAACCAATTCCCTGACAAATGCCCGACAAAGTCCAGCATTCGATTGGGAGAGCGGTTCGGAGGCCGGTGAGGTTCAGCGTATTATGGAAAAGCAACAACAACACGATCAACAGAAAAACGGTGAGTTAAAACGTGCAACTCTGTTAAGGAATTTCAGGCTGAAAATGGCACAGCTACTTATGGGCAAATCTAGAAAATAATAGTAATCTCTGCAATAACTACTACTCCCAATATATATTTTTCTTTTATTAATTAGCAAAACTAATGATGTTTTTTGGGAATAAAAATTCGAAAAACAATAACAACAAGTGCTATGCTTAGTTTCTTTAAGTAAAACTTAAAACTAAAAATCTGGGAAATTACTAACACGAATAATTGTTTAAGGCATGTTGTATTTTATTTTAAGTATTTAATCATTTAATTTTAGCTTTTGATAAACAAAATAATATCAAATTAACTAAAACAGCAACAACAAAATGTAGAGATGTTGTTACTTAACCCCAATAAACACGGAAAACAATTTTACATATTGTTTTGATTGGTAAATAAAGTTGGTAAAATAATAAAAATATGGTGTTTTTTCTTCTTCTTCTTTTTTTTTTTCTTTGTTGAATTTCAACTACCATTTTCAAATTTAACGGTTTTGTTTGGGTTAAAGTGGTTTGGTTGGATTGTAAATAGAAATACAACACTGTTAGTGGGACCAATAACAGATAAATTTGCATATCTGTTAGATAAATAGATGAGTGTTAGCCAGTATTGCCAGATTGAAAAAAATTATTGTGTCATACAGTGGCATTGCCAAATGTACATAATTTGTTTAGATAAGTCAGTGTTGCCTACTGACATTTGTAAAAATAGAAATTAGCTCATGTAGCCGCACAGTAGTGCAAATGTTAATGACCCACATTTCATCCATCGAATTTTGACATTTTTAAGAAATGAAACAATTGAGTCAAAAGTGAAAGAATAAAAACCTTTGTTCTCAAATTCTTGAGAAAAATAAGGTATTATATGTTAAATAAACTTTCAGGTGCAAAAAACAACTAATATATATTTTTTTGCTTTTTTTGTGGATTTGTGTGAATTTATATAGTTCTAATATCTACATATTGGCACTTCCGGGGTCAGCGGTATAAAAGGTCTCCGTTTTTTTTAGATAGAAGCCTCAAAAGTGCGGCCACTCGGGCGTCTTCGAATAATCACGAGTTTAAACATCATTGCTAATAATGGGAAAACTATCCTGTTTCTCTAAGACGATCGAAAGGTTTCTTTCGATTTTATTCCAACGAAATTTTAATCGAAAGAACACGTAAAACTGGACAATTTGTCTATAAATTAAATTTCGCAATAACGAAATGGGCTCTCATTACTTTTCTTACACTAAGGGCTCTCAATTTCACACTGATGTCTCTAATAGCCAACAGTTAAGCCGACCAGATTTTGAAATTTAAAATAGATGACAAAAAGAAAAAAATACATGTTCAATAAAAATAATATATAGTATGTGTATAATAGCCTAGACAGACGACAGCCTTAATTTGCATTAACAGTCTTAATTCAAATCAACTTGTACATTATCCTCATTTTTATGTGTCGTAAATGCACAAAATCAAACTGAATTTATACTGAATTAAACAATTCCAATATGGCAATGCTGTAGAAAATAAATTATTTGTTGTCAAATTTGTTTACGTTTATGAAAAAAATATTAGAAATAAGGGCAAATTTCAACATTTTTTCCAGTCGGGAGCTGTTTTACTACCATTTTAGCTGTTATTCTTCCGTTCTGTCATGTATCTATTTCATAAAGATGTAATCCCAAAAAATATTGGAAACAATTGTGAAAAATTTCATCCTACACACAGACAAACAATATTTTTGAAACAAAAAACTGGTTCATAAATGCAGAAACTCTCGTCTGTCAGGGGTAAATATTAATTCAAATTAGGAACTTTTTAATGCAAATTAAGGCTGTCGTCTGTCTATGGTATAAAACGTACAATTAGATGTACTTATAAATATATAAAAATGAGTTCAAAAGTCGTTAAGTACGACCGGGCCAAATTTTTGGTCCGATAAGAATAATCTTTGGATCTCTATATAAGAAACATAGCAATGAAGTAGACCTATGTCGACTATGTTTTCCAAGGATATTTTGCATTTAAAAAAATTAAAGGTGTGTTGTAGCAGCTCGTGAGCGGAACTGGTATGGCTTCATCCAAAAAAAACAATATTAATTTTTTAAATCCTTATTTAGGAAATGCTTCCAGCTTATGATCTGAGTCCATCAACTTGGGCAAGCATGGTTAATGATCTTAAGCCTTCAGCGTTCGCTAAACGAATTAGAGTCGGGGAGTCCGGACTCGGAGTGTAGCGATTTTATTTATATAAATAACATTTATAGTAAATAACATTTGAATAAAAATAGAGTTGATCCGCTTCAGTGTTAATTTATATTGGGGCCCCTAGAAACATAGAACCAACAAACCAGAAACCCGGAAATTTTCAAAATATATTTTATATTTTTTAACCAATTAGAACTAAAAAAGAGGACTGTAATTTGCCATTCAAGTTCGTAAAGGATGAAAATCATATTTGTTAACAAATTAATATAGTTTTATTTTTTCTCAATGTCTTGCAATTTTACCTTGTTTTCCAAATTCTTGGTCGATAAAGACTTCTTCACAGAAACCTGTGATTGCAGCCCAATGAAGATACCACCACATTTTCACTTGTTGGAAGTTCGAAATATTTTAAATATACATCATATGGGTACTTATTATTATTTTTTATTTTTGTCCTTTTTTAGGGATATTCTTCCCAAAAGCTATTCTTAATAAATTTTGAAATATCGCTTAGAAAAAATGAAGGAAACTAATAAAGATTAGTGGCAAGATTGGAAAATTCACAACACGAAATTACAGCTATTTCGACAGAAAACCTTGCCCCACATTCCCAAAATACAGAATTTTGGTGGCTGACGATTACAGATTATCTACCCAATTATAGCCCAAAACACCAAACAACAACAAATCAGGTTGAAAAACGTATCCAATATTCCCAAAGTACCGAATGTGAGAACCAATCAACCAGAGCTACCCCGCAAATTTGGTCAATATTTATTAATTTTTAATATCAATTTAAAGCCAATTCTGTTGCAAAACGTGTCGAACAGCTTTTAAGAAAAGCTTTGCTTGCTATACATTGAGAATCCAAAATGCCAAATTTCAGTCGTGATTTTTCAGTATACCGACTAAATCAACATAGAATTTTATTGTGATTGGGTTTCGGATGAATATTTCGAGGGGCTGCAAACGCAATGACAAATTTAATATATGTATACTCCCCCTTCTGGTGGATGGTATAAAAACAACAAATTTGGATAAGGTCCGACTATTTTGAATAAAAACAAACTACAAATGGTACCACAAATAAACCGCCAACTCTACTGAATTTTCTATTTTTCTCCCTCCATTAATTCTGGTTTTACAATTTCTATTCTTATATTTTTAATGTTATGTATGGACTTCACTTCAAAATCATTATAAAATGCAAAATTACCGAAACCACAATGTCCGTTGGATTATACCTAAACATTTTCTACACACTGTAGTTGAGATGAGAGAGATAACACTCATCTTTATATCTCTCACACAAAATACAATTTATCTAACAATACTGTTTTGATGTTGGCAATACCTCAAAGTAGAAGAAAAACAAAATAGCACATAAAGAAATGCAAAAATAAGAAAGAATTACAACAAAAGGCAAATAACAAATTATTTTCAGTTCGTTGTCGTGCGCTACTCGCAATTGTTTGCACAAAACTGATTTGACGTAGTTTTCAAAGAAAAACCAAAGCAAGAGGTTCAATTGGAAATTAAATGACGGCAAATTGTAACGAATTCGCATAACAAAATAAAACAACCATCAAGAAAAATTAAAAAAAAAGAATAAAAAAGTAAAAATTACTAAGTGTATATAGTATAGACAAGTTTGTGTTTGTTTGGTTTTGTTTTTTGCGCAACAAAAAATATACAAGCCGTGAACGACGATGTTGGGATGGTGTGATGTTGAAAAAACAAGCAACAAATGAAATAATAATGGAAAGACCTTCTCTTGTAATTTATTCCTGAATTTGAGGCAAAGAAACAAATTAATTAACAGTGAATAAAAGAAACGAAACAGAGGCAATTAAATCGCAAAACCCAATTGAATACAAATACATTTCTAAACTGTTCCAGTTGCAGTCGTTAATTTTTGGTATTAGTGCATCTGAAATACAAGTCATTAACTTGCATCCTCTATAAATAGTTCGATACTTTTTTGCGTAAGTTTATTGCATTGTTTTGTGTGTGTGTTTTTTTTGTTATTGCTTTTATTAATGTTTACTATTTCTAGATTTTGTCAAACATCTATTTTCGTATTGGCATTATGACAATTTATTAATGGGGGGATACTACAACTCATCAACGCCTTCAGCTTTTCTTTTAGAATGCCCTGTAAATAAGAACAGAGGTTACCCTACCATGATTTGTAAATATTATTCTTCATGGCCTTAGCTACTCATATCCATTGCATTATGGTGGTCATCAATCGATATTCGGTTCATGGTTAACTTACAATTTATTAAGCTAGAACTGGGGCTGGCCTGCTGGCTTGCCTTGAATACGTCACACACAAAAAAGTTGAAGGATTTCTGTATTTGAATTTCGACAGCACTATTTGTTTTGTGGAAACAATCATTTATTGGTCATATGATAGGTGGAATATTTTACGACCATTCGGATGTTAGATATCAGAAGGAGGATTGATATTCACCTATAAGAATTTATATAGAAAATGAAGTAAAAATTTAAACCAGTAAGGAAAATTCAAAAGTCGTACGTTATAGACTATATGATACCCTTCACCACTTTGGGTACATTCAAGAGATGCTCATATGTACAATATCCTTTAGATAGAATAGCCATAGCATCTTCGGAGGACGGACTATATATGGAAGCTATATCTAAATCTGAACTAATTTCAACAAATTTTCAAGGACGTCAAAATGTAAAAATACGATATGACAAATTTTGTCTTAATCGGACAAACTTTGGCAGTACGGTGTTCCATTTACATAAAATCAGGCGAAAATATATATCTAAATATGTACCGATAAAAAAAACTTTGCTTTCATCAATCAGGACCTAATTCAGTCTCTATACAAAATTTTGTCTCAATCGGACAAATATTGACAGTATGGTGATCCACTTACATAAAACCGATTCCAACAAAACTTCGCATACGTCAATCAGGAATTAATTCAGTACTGGGATTTTGGCAAAAATTATCAAACTGAGTGTTGTTATGCATAATGTACTACATTTTATGGACTAATGCTTCATTACACATTTTGATATTGAAATAAATAAAAATAATCAACTTTTTTGATTGCCCTCCATATAACGCGATATTTTGACACACGTTTCAAACAAATTAGCTCCAATTTCGGATATTAGATTGATTACAAAATCTCCTGGATAGTCCACATTTAGTGGCTACCCCCATTACTATGTTTTCTGGGGAATTGAAGGGTTAAACCACATTTTCCAACCGATGTGCCTGTAATTTGGTATAAAGGGTTTTTTTAAGGCTGGTACATATCAATATGTCCATGTTTTGACATAGCATCTATATTGGGGTAGAAGCCTCCTTGTCAAAATTTTAATTATTTTATAGAAATTTTCCCATTGCAGTGGCTATAATTTGGCTTCCGGGGTATTGGTGAGTAAACCACACAAATGACCCCTTTAATTTTCTAACCAATATTTTCAAAACTGAGTGTCTGTAATTTGGACAATTATTTGTTATTTTTTAATTTCTTTCCCATTTGGTGGTCAATCACCCTACCAAAAATTATCAATATTGAATAGACAATATATAACGATACCTCCCAAATTCCTATATTTTGGGGGAGTTTGGCACTTTTTCAACCAAATTGGCGTTAGTATTTTATATTCTCACTGGGAACAAAATCATTTTACCAGACACCCAGATAACACACGTTGTGGATGTGGAGGCTTTTCAAAAAGTCTCAAATGCCAATATTTGTTGCCACTGAAGAAAATTAGTTTCTTTTTGTCAAAATTATTTTCTATGGAATTCCGACTAATGTTTAATGTCTTTATCCTTGTTCATACGAGAGCTATACGCTCCCAGAGAAACGTGTCAACATTTTGAACCGATTGGATTATTAGTTTTAGAGCTATAGTGCCCGCCATTCGTAAAAACACTGCTTCGAGAAAAATGAGTTTAAAGTTTGAGAATTACTCTTGCCTTCACTTGATACTGACACAATAAATCGGCTATATGTAGGGACATTCTTGAATTAGTGTAGTTTCGAAAAACTAAATTAAATTTTTTGACACCGAGAATGGAGGTCGGGTCCCCTTAAATGTACTAACTAACTGAACCTTTTCAAGCTTAAGTCCCAAGAATTTATGACGTTGGTAGAATAACGAATTAAAAAGAGAGGAATAGACAAATCTGATTATTCTTCAAGACTTTGGTCAGCCAAATTCTCAGTTGATCGAAATCGAAATCACATACGATATTTTGTGTACGTATTTTGAAACTGCATTTCTTTCTCAAGAGCATTCCATATTTAAATAAATAACCAGTGAGCGGAGCGGTATAGTCGAACGGGGCCGACCATACGATACCCTACACAACTACCACGGAACTCTAACTTTCTGCCGACGTTTATTCTGAGCGTGGGCAATATTTCGTGATTGTTGCATCCTCTTGCCCGATTAAAGAGCGACAGCACCTCTTCCTTACACTGACATATTTTCCGAATATTCCTAATATTGAGTACTTGTCCAGATTCCCTTCACCGTGGATTGTGTTGTGATGTTCGGATTATAATTGTGTCTCGAAAAAAAAAACATAAAAAATTAGGTTTTCGATCCACTTCATCCCAAAATTTTTATCTGATCATCACCAAAAATTATAGCCGATATCCCTGACCATACCTGGATCCTCATTGAACATTTCAAAGCGATCAGCGCTATATTTGGGTTACTAAATAATATCTCAGTACGTAAGCACCTGTAAATATTTAAGTGTAACTCCCACATCTGAGTACATACGACCATATAATTAGTATCAATTTAAAGGTCAACCACTACTCTTGGATATGCTATCAACTTATCGGGTCTTTGTTATTCAGGGGTAAATATATACGCTATAGAATACAATTTTTTTCATTTTTCGCGCAAAAGTCAGGGTCTATTTGACCCGCTAAATATTGGCCGATCTTTATCAAAACAAGCATGCTTATTCTATGGCCTGATCCCCTTCTCATGCAAAAGTTCGCGGTGTTTGGGTCATAATTGCGGCTTGTGGAGCGACTGGAAAACCCGACAAAAATAAAGTTTTTGGTCCATTTCATCCCCTAAATATTAACCGATCTTTTCCAAAAACAATAGGGGTATTCATTGGCCAGAACCCATCCTACATGCATTTGGTGAAGATTGATCCATAACTGTGGGCTGTATCGTGTTTACAATTTATAATGGACAGACGGACACACATGTCTAGATCGACTCAGCTAGTCTAGATATGACGATCGGTATACTTAAAGGTGGGTCTAGGACCAATATTTCGCGGCGTTACAAACTTTTGGGGCTACACAAAGCTATAATACCCTGACAACATAGTTGTGAAGGGTATAAAAATTTTTGATAATACTTAAAATAAACTCTCCTTTTCACAAAACAAGTCATTGACATTACACCTGCAAAAGAATCACCACTAAAGCCTTTTACTTTGCAAAAACAAATACAACAACAATTTAATTATTAATAACAACTTGTGAACTGTTATTAAATACAATTAAATTATATCTGGCTTGTTTGGAAACCAGTAAAAACTTTTGAAATTTATAACCAAAAATCAGAATAGATTTCTACTAATATAAGATTCTGTCTTTTTGTAAAATCGAGCCATAAATTACTATTCACTCTATCCGTAAATTTTCCCAATATGTTCGACACCCCTGCAATCTAAGGATTTAATTGTGAAATTCGCAATATATAATTTAAAACAGCATTCAAATGTCTTGCGATAATTCTTTATTGATAATTTTTTTTTTGAAAATATCTGACGTGTTAATGTTTTAAATGCGCCATACATAACATAAATAAGTACACGTATGTGTATGAAAATATTTCTTGTTGTTGTTATTTTGTTTTTGATGATGACAAAATTGCATCTTTGCAGATATTATTTCCCTGTCAAGCCAAATAGCAAAAGTACACGACTGACAAACGTAAACAACAAAAACATTTATTCCACTGACACATTCATACACACAAACCGCACATGGATAGGTGCGAATGTGCAGACACCGGGGATAAGTAAAAAGGTGATCGTCTAATAAAAGAGGTCATTTGGTATAAAATGTGATTATGAAGCAAAATAATGAGGCAAGTGAATTGTTTTTTTTTTCAAAATTGAGTTCTTTTGTTAATGTGGAACTATAAATGATGTTCGAGAGGGATAATTAATATGTTCATATTTTCAAGCTATCAATATATTAAATTCTTTAATGGATAATGTGATGTTTTGATTATAATTTCAAGAAATTGTACTAGTCATTATACCCTTCACCACACTGTGGTACAGGGTATTATGTATTTGTGCATATGTTCGTAACAGGCAAAAGGAATCGAGATAGACCCATTGTTCCTTTTGAAAATATGCATAGAATCACTTTCTGAGTCGATTTTCGCATGTCCGTCTGTCTGTACGTCCCTGTATTTTAGTGAACAATGTACAGGTCGCATTTATGATCTGATATGGATGAAATTTGGCATAGTTCACTTATATGGGCCAAGGACGAACCCTATTGGAAATCGGTTCAGATTTAGATATAGGCTCCCATACATAGTTTCGTCCGATTTTTCATAAATGATGCACCAAACTCCCAATATTTGACCGATTGGGACAAAATTTTGCACAGCGCAAAGTATAAGGTTCATACTTATGTATGATGGAATTGGTTTAGATTTAGATATATGTAGCTCTCATATGTAGTTTCATCCGATTTTATGTGAATGATGCACCACACCCCCAATATTTGTCCGATTGGGAAAACGTTTTGCACAGAGTACTGAATTAGGTCCAGATTGATGTCTGCGAAGTTTTGTTAAAATCGGTTCAGATATAGCTCCCATATATAGTTTCGTCAGATTTTTCTTAAATGATACACCATACTCCCAACATTTTTCCGATTGAGCAAATTTTACATAGCGAATTCAATTGAGGAAAAATGATGTGTTAAAGGGTTTGTTGAAATCGGTTCACATTTTGATATAGGTTATATATATATATTCGTTCGATTTTATGTAACTGGTGCACCGAAGGACCACTGTGTGCTCAATTTCCACGAAATTTGGCCGTGGGTATTAAATTCATTGATTTAAGAATGGTATGTGCGTGGGGTTTTTTTCAATTGGTTCAAATATCTATCTAGATAGCACTTTTAATTTCGCCCGGTTCCATCTCAGTGGTCCTCTAAAGATTCTATGTCTGTTCTATCTACAGGATATTGCAGATATTAACATCATTATAGTCGGCCGCGTACGACTTTTGAACTTTTCTTACTGGTTTTTCATTATATTCGAGATATGCTGTGACCTGGTTTATTGATACTAACCCTTTGTAGGCCATATGACTTTTTATTGACTATTCGAATTGGGCTTAGTTATAAGAATAAGCGCAATCGCATCTATTTAGAATGATTGTAAATAAAGACACATGTTTTGATCTTGACACCCATATACAGGTCCAGCAAAATGTTCGATATGTACCCAAAGTGGCGAAAGGTATCATATAGTCGGCTTCGTCCGACTTTTGAACTATCTTACTGGTTTTTCATTATATTCGTGATATGCTGTGACCTGGTTTATTGATACTAACCCTTTGTAGGCTATATGACTTTTTATTGACTATTCGGATTGTCTTTAGTTATACGAATATTTAGAATGATTGTAAATAAAGACACATCTTTTGACCTTGACACCCATATACAGGTCTAGCAAAATGTTCGATATACTAATTCAGAGTATATTGTTTTTGTTATCGTTTTTGTATTTTAACGGATAAGCGTCTCCACAATATAATTACTTTGTTTTGTCTATCAACCCCCTAACCACCCATCCAAATAAGAAGGCACGTCCCAGGAGAATATCAAAAATAATATTATCCATGGACAATTCAAAGTTATACCAAACTAACACACAATTCTGTTAAGTGTACCAGGGACGAAAGTAAATACAATTAAATAAAAATATTACACTTTGGCAACCCTAATGATTTTGTATACCACCTCCCACAAACAAAATCAACACAAAACATGAAATTGTATTTTTAAAATCAATCCACACGAACTGTTCATCGGGATCATCCACCGTACACAAGACAAACCATACACAACATTTATTATTTGCCGGCCCAGCACCAATAGCAGATAGGCAGATAGGTAAGCGCGTAAGCAACGTGCAGACCAGACCAGTTGTAGACAAAGAAAATAAGTGATCTCTTTCAATTTTCAAAATTAATAAATGCGCGTTGCTATTTTTTTGTGACAAATAAGAGGTACTGAAAACAAAGAAATAGTTTTGAAAATATTCACAAGATATAACAACAAGATCAAATACATACACTGTAATCGTCTCTGGGGCCAGTCAGTACTTATTTTGTCGGGTGCTCGTCACAGTTTTGTCAAAAACAAACGTTTTGCGTTATTGTTTACTACAACTGCAATTTGCTGATAAGATAAAAACTTACAGGGAGAAAGATAATTATTTACGTATATACAATTATTTATTGCTTGTTTTTTTTTTTACTTTGCTCAATAGTTTTAATTATTTTCTTTTTACTTGTTTTGTTTTAGATCTAAATTACATACATTTGGATTTGCATAAAACACATCAACTACAACAAATACAACAGAATGGATAAATCTGATAGACGGGAGCAGGAGACGGCCAATAAAAATAATAATAAAAATCCAAACAAAGATTTAACATCATCCACCACAATCATCAGCAGCAGCATCAGCAGTAGTAGTACACCACAGCAATCATTAGATAGTAATTCCCCCCACGATGATGATTCCATTACCACCAGCACAGAATCCTCGGATATATTTGATACATGGACCTTGGTAACGGACAAAAAGAAAACTAATGTAAATGACGAAGAACGTGTAGAAATTTTAAATAAAACCGATGATGAAGATAATAGCATTGAGGAAGCTGTTGAAACACAGCCAGACGCAGAGGAGGAGGATACTCATCAAGCCAATGCAATGGATAAGAAGAAAATGCAAGAGTAAGTCCAATGTTATTTTATTAAAGATTTCGAAAAATTAATATTGTTTTTTATTTCTTCTTCACCAGATCCATGCATGAAGCTGATGACTTATCCGATGGCATATCAATTATCAGTGAAACAGAAAGTAATGGCCGGCTATCACCTCATCCTTATTTGAGAGATCATTTGCAAGATTTGAATTTGAAATTTGCCACCATACCAACACAGGAGGAAGAAGATTTAATAACAAAATTACGCGATGAAAGAGTTGCGCAGCGGCCTGTCATTGTACCAAGGGCCGAGCAAAGCTTAAGACAACGTCCTGGAAGATCTGTTGAAGAAACTACAAACGAAGACAAAGATACCGATAACGATAAAAATCATGACAAAGCTGTACAAATGGCAAGCTGTAAAACGGTAGCTGAATTAACCACCATTACACCATTGGTAAAACGTGGTCTACAGGGAATTTTCTATGTAGGAGTTGCATTAGCTTTGCTCTCTTTACTTGGCCGTTTACGCAATCCCACCTGGAGTGCAAATAGTCCGTCCTCTCCCGAATTGGAACAAAAACTTAATGATATGGAATTGCAAAATAATTTAATGAGAGCTGAAATAGATTTACTTAATAAACATGTAAAATATTTAAGTAATTTAAATGACCAACAACAACAACGTAGACCAGATAAATATAAAGGCCATTATGACCAGCAACCATCCCATGAGGGTGGCAAAAAGTTTAAAGCATGGTCGGGTAATGGTGATTCCCTTAGACCAGTTGAAATAACCAAAGATGATTTGCGTAAACCATATAAATGTCCCGATGGTTCGTTCAAGGAATTTGCTGGTATGTGTGTTGAAAATAAAGGCAATCAACCAAACATTGTGGACCAGTTCGGACAAGTTGTTGAAGATTTCAAACAACAATCGGAAACACTTCAGGCATTTGAAAAAGTTGCAGAAGATTTACACGGTCTAACCGAAAATCCTTTTGATCAAATTCAACAAATACTTAGTGAACAGCAAGAGCCGGATATGAAGTTGCGTCAGCATTTGGATAAACAGGCCAATCAATTTTTAAAAAATAAACCAGTTTATCAAAGTAATGAACAGCAACCGACAGAAGGTCAAGCTAATGATCCCTTGGACCTGAATAAAGAACCAAGTGAAGGAGAAAAGGCAGCCGAATTTGATATGTCAAAGAGCTATTGGAAATCCAAAGGAAAACGTGACAACAAATACCGTGCTGGCGCCGGTAGTTTTGAGGCCAAAGCCTTTGATAAGGATTTCAAGAAAAATTCCTCACCCGACAATGGCAAACCGTTTGATGACAAACAATCGAAAGAAAATTATGAAAAATTCAAAAATGAAGCAAGATCTAAATATTATAGCAAACATAAGGATGGCGAAGATGACGATGATTCCAAGGAACGTTATAATAAACGTGATAGAAAAGATTCCAAGGAACATGATTACAATAGGAAACGTGGTGGTGAATACAATCGCAATAACAACTCCAAGGAACGTTATCAAAAACGCGATAACAACAACAATTCCAAAGAATCACGTTGGAATCACAAGCACAGCGCTGAAGACGACAATTCCAAGGAACGTTACAATAAACGTTCCAAACAGCCATCCAACTCCAAGGAACGTTTTAATCAAGAAAATAGCGGTAGCGGTGAATGGCAGGAGCACTACATGAAACATCGTGAAGAATTGCGCAAACAAAACGAACAGAAATATAGTGGAGAAAATAAAAATTGGTTTATGAAACGTGGTGATGGACGGGAGTTTAAACGTAATGCTGATATACGTTATAGATGAACCCCCTGAAGGAAGAAAATGGAATTAGTTTTATGCCAAGGTGTGTTATTGTACTGAGGGCAGAAGTCAAATACTATTGAGAGACAATAATTTATGTAAAGTAATAATATTATGTATGGAGTTTATGTACTGACATTTTCTAGGTTCTGTTTTTTAAAGATATGAACATATTCTTTTTTGCTAGTTTATAAGTTTTTTCACCCAAAGACATATTTCAAAAATAAATGAAATGCAATGAAAATTTTAAAACTTCACACAAAGGCATCGTATTACATTTTTAATGAATTTAATAAAAAAATCCGGATATAAAAATTAAATTTGTTTCCTAAGTATTTCCAGAATAGGATTGTGTCCCCATACATATACAGACTAATAATGGTTATTACACTTCAGATTGCAATATCTTCCCATTTAAAATAGAGTTGAATTATTAAAAGTCTTTTGCAATCAAAACTATTGCTATGTAGCTCATGATTCAAATGTAGTTAGCTTCAGATGGCTTATTTATTCCCAAATATAATAGTGGTAATATGTACTAAAAGGAGTAGGTACCAATAATAATAGGAATAATCTGTCCAATGATCTATTACTGCTACATGCATTAAAAAGTAGATGAGGAAAGTAATCTAAAAATAAATTTTAAGCTATTCCCAAGGAAACAATTTCGAAATTATTACCTAAAATTACTCATAATAATATAACTTTACAATTGTGTTTTTTCTCAATATTATTTGACTTCTAATATATTATGAAAAAAACTTTCAACACTTGGCTCCCGTTTTATATACTAGACTAAGATTTAACAAATGAAGAAAAAAATTTTTTGTAATTTAAATAGAATATCCTATTTGGTTATTTTTTGTGTTGTGATAGTTGAAAAACCTCCCCCTCCATATAAAATAAATACCGAAATATTTACCGACATATAAAATACTTAAAACTACGAACTACCCTAATTGTAAAAAAAAATATTTTATTTAAAGATTAAAACATTTATTTAATTTTTAACATTATGTATTCTATTTGTTTTTTTAGTTCACATCTTCGCATATATTAATATATTTTAATTTTTACCTTTTTTATTGCACATTTAATTTTATATATTTAAAAAAAATATTTACATATAATTTTTTGTGTATTTACATTGTGAATTTATTTGTTGTGTATGTTTATTTTTAATTTGCCCATATAATTGTATAAATTACGATCACTTCTCAATAATTGTTATTCATCCCTATAAGAAATTGTAGAATTTAACATAATTATATATATTATAATTTAAATATATATTATATCAAATATCCTATATTTGTATCTATGTAATTATAATGATAATAAACGAAAATTAAAAACTATAAGAATTTTTGTTTTATTTTAAAATTCGTACAGCAAATAAGTTTAATTTATTAGAGTATACACAAGCAAATTATGTAGGCAATTCTGTTGACTTCTTTAGAGACTTTCCATACTCTTCAAAGAACTCAGCAGTCATCCAGGGAGACCAGATGGATATCAGGTCCTCCAGGAAGACCAGATGGATATCAGCTGCTTTTCAAGTCTGAAACGGATTTGATCCAAAGAAACGTGTCTCATCGAAATACTGGATTTAGACCCATTTGGGTCAAATCCGTTTCAGAAAATTTGCAGTCGATATACAGTTGATTTAACTGTCCGTCTGTCTGATATCGTAGCAAAGTGTATATAGCCTCAATACCCATAAGTATTTAAAAATATATCATGAACAAAATATTTTATTTATGTTTACTTTTGAACCACGAAATATATAACCCTATATAATGGGTCATATCATGTCACTTAGTGCCATCTGCCGGAATAATGGGGTACAAAAACTGGTTGCTTTAAAAAATTAACTAAACGGTTCGTGTCTCAACTGTCAATGTTTTGCCCAGGGTACAGCATTGCCATTTAAAGTCTGAAAAAATGTTTACTTGAAACAAGTAAAAATTTAATTAATGTCGGGGTCGAAGTTCTATTTTCAATATAGCGAGGTCTATCGTTGCAAATGCTCGAATAGACAGACTGGCATTGCTATACAGGGTGACATAAAAAACTGCAACAAAGTCAAACGCCATAATTTTTACATTTTTTTTGAATGAAAGCAAAAAATGTGTTCAAATTGATCAACTTTGGCACGAATTATGACCTTCAAACGGCCAATGAAACGTCACACGCTGCCCGAATGTTGCTCTGGGGTATTTTGGTCCAGTCCCGGCGAAGCGCTTGCTTTGGTGATAGACACGTTGGCATTTTTTAGTGCTAACCTTGTTTTCCAAAATACTCCAGACATAATAGTTCAACAGCTTGGTATCCGGAGATTTTTGTGGCCATTGTGCGCTGGAAATATCTTTTGAGTCTATTTTCTTTCTGTTGAGGTGTAAGTTCTTGCACTTTTTATACCCTCCACCATAGTATGGAGGGTATATTCTTGTATAACAATGGATTTGCTTTTAAAGATTCCAATCGTATAGTTGGAACACCGCTTATTAAAGTTTAGTTGGTTATTAAGGCAAACGTATGCATATTCATCACGTGTAAAGTGACAGCCATGCCAGTTGTTTAAATACATGATTATTAACTTTTAATTTCAATTAATAGTTGAATTTTTATTAAGGTTGCCCCACATTCTCGGTTTCAAAAATTGAATTTAGGTTTTGAAGATATAGCCGATTTATTGTGTTAGCATCAATTTAATAGTCAAGAATGGCGGTTCGGGTTTAGAATCATGCTGCTAGAATCATGCTGCTAAAAACAAGGAAACGAGATAGACACATGGTTCCTTTTGAGAATATGCATAGAATCACTTTTTAAGTCGATTTATGCATGTCCGTCCGTCCGTCTGTCTGTGCATGTTAAATTGTAAACAAAGTACAGGTGGCATTTATTATTTATTTGGCCCAAGGACGAACCCTATTGAAATTGGGAAAAATCGGTTCAAATTTGGATATAGCTCCCATATATATTTTCGTCCGATTTAAGGAAAATGGTGTACCAAAGTTCCTATATATCTTTAGATTTCCACGAAATTTGGTACAGCGTACTGAATAAAGCCTACAATGATGTGTGTTAAGTTTCGTGAAAATCGGTTAAGGAGTAGATATAGATCCACTATATATTTTCGTCCGATTTTAGGTAAATGGTGCACCTGAGTCCCTATATATCTTTCGTAATGAAGGTAGTATAACCTATAAGTTAGATATAAATGCTGTACCGAATTCCCCAGGTGGGTCCGATTGGCACAAAATTTTGCACAACTTATAGAAGTTATTATGAGATAACGTTTGGCAAGTTTTGTTTTTATAGTTTCGTCAGATTTGAAGTAAAATGTTCACCAAAGACCCAATGTTATATAGTTTATATAACCTAGCATGTGGAAAGTTTTATTGAAAACTAAATGCTGCACCAAGAACTCAAAATGTGGCCGATATTCTGTGACAAGTTTCGATGAAATCGGCTTAGATTTCGATATAGCTTTTATAAATATTTTGAAGTAAATGGTGAACCAAACTCCTCATGTTTATCAGATATGTATCCAAATAATCAACGGGTATCCGACTGATATATGCTTTAAATTGATTTACATAAATTTGTCCCATTGTAAGAAGCAACTCTATATCTGACCAAATGAAAAATTTAGTATAGGTTGCAGAAAGATATGTTTATGTGTCCAATTTAATTTTACCGATCCTTCAAAAATGCGACGTCTGTTAAGATACATCGGCCACGTCCGACTTTACTACTTTCCTTACTTGTTTTCTTTTAAGTTTGATTAACATCGGTTAAAATTCACTTATTTTTCGACCGATTTTATATGAATGTATTTAAGATGAATATCTTCAAAAGAAACCCTCATTGTATTGGAATTTCAAATAATTAACTTTAGTTGAGTCAATATAACTTATCGTAAAATATATTTTTGCCTTCTAAACTAATCATCATAATTGATTATTCAGCTGCAGTCTTTGAAGTCTTTAATAAAAATAGCGAATTTAATTCATATTGATAAACATATTTTCAAATAAAACAACAAATACGTATTTACATGTTCGTAAATAAGTTATTTTCTTCAAAATAGAAAGTTTCACCTGTTTTATTTCACGTTACTGGGTATAGTTGGAATGTTATATTTCTCATCAGGATTGTAATATTATCCCTTTGTGGCCCAATGTTGCCCACAGGTAACAAAATGCTTTAGAGCTTATATTTAATACGCTAGTAGATATATATATATATATATATAATTTGGATCTCATATGTCAAAAACATTCAAAATTTTGGTATAGAGAAGAGGGTAAATTTGTGTACAGTACTAATTTGTGTATACAGTCGAAATTATTTATATCGCTGTCTATTCGAATTGTACGAATTCTGCCATAATTTTTTTTTTTGATTCTTTGAATAAAGAATATAGAGAATAATATAAAAAAAATTTCCATCGATTTTGCATTTGGGTTTATTGTTATTGGACTTTTATTTTTCAGAAAGAATGTACTGTATCTCCCGAATGCAAGGATATAGCGATGCCAAATTTTGTTCATATCCTATTTGGAATAGTTGCATGAAATCTGTGAACAGAAAATTCGGGCCTTAAACAGTTAATAACGGAAGTTATTGATGTTATTGATCAGTTTGAAATGAGAGTCCCTAATTTTAGAAATTTAGCCGCACCAAAGTTTTTATACCCTACAGTAATTAAGTAAATTTGAATGGAGAAGTGTAGCTACCACAGTACTTATGAATGGGCTTATTTATGGTGGCTTAATACTGTACATGTGTGAATTTATATACTTTACAAAAAGTTACATTTGAATGGACAAGAGTTGCTACCATAACGGAACCCAAAAGTGCAATTCTACATAAATGTACTTACTTACATGGCTGGCTTGCGATTGAACGCTTGTTGCATAAGCCGAGCTTAAAAAAAATTAACACGCGTCGGTCTTGTGTGCAGCTCATCCAATTTGAAAGACCATGATCCGAGATGTTATCTTCTACTTGATCCATTCCATTGAATTCGTGGCCTTCACCTTCTGCGTTAACCATAATCTTGCACAGGCTTTTATATGCCTTTGGATCTGGGGCATCCTCATCCATTCTCCCAACAGGATCAAGCCAACGTAGTCGCTGCAACTCGATCCGTCTGACTATGTCGATATCCGAGAATAAATGGTACAGCTCATGGTTCATTCGACGACGATATTCACTGTCGACGCAGATCGGCCAATAGATCTTCCGGAGTATTTTTCTCTCAAACACTCCAAGAGCTGTCTCATCTGCTTGTGCAAGCATCCATATAACATCACAGGTAGTATCAGCGAGTATCTTGTAGAGTGTGAGTTTGGTCTGGAGAGAGATGTCTTTGCTTTTGAGTTGCTTAAACTATTCTTCTCCGGATTTAAAAGCTGATCTTATTATTTTTGTTTACGGCGGTCTCGAGTTATATAAAATCGTTCACTACCTCGAAACTGTAGTTTTAAAGTTCCACAGTTGGTCCGAGTCTACTTGACATCTTGCGCGTTGATACTATAAGCTTGGTTTTCTCGCCATTTACTGTCCAGTCCCACTTTGGCAGACACTTTCTCAATTCCTGCAGACGTGGTTGTTACCGTTCGCAATGTTCGACCAATTATGTCGATGTCGTCTGCGAGTAACATATGCTGTTTGGAGTACAGAGTGTAATTTCTATTCACATTTGCATCTCGTATGACCTTTTCCAGCCGGACGATAAACAGGTCAGACGACAAATTGTCACTTTGTCTGAATCCTCCTTCGGTTTGGAGACGGTTTGACTCTTGTATACCTCGATTCTTGTTCATTCTTTTTTAAATCTGCACTCAAAATATATTTTTTTATTTAATAAGCATTCTATATAGCGCTTAGAATGTATCGTATCTTTATACTTTTATGTCTTTGCATAAATGTTTCAGAGTTTATTTGTTTCCTACGGTAAGGAAAGTAGTAAAGTCGGACGGGGCCGAGTATATGATATCCCTCACCATTATGGGTATATTAAACAGGACTATTAACACAAAATTGGATGAAATAAAATATGTGATATTTATCTAAATGCGAATCTACCTATTCGTTCATTCGTTTGTTACAATGGGACAAAAGTATGTAAATCGACTTCAAACAAATATCAATAGGGCGATGTCTGTACTTCTAGAAAACGCAATTACGTAATTGCTCAATATGCTCAATTTTGTACGTTGTGCAAAATTTGATACAAATCTGACTAACATGAGGAGTTTGATGCCCAATTTACTTAAAATCGGGCGAAAATATATATTGAAGCTATATCCAAATATGAACCGATTTCAACGAAACTTGTCACAGGTTAGGTTATACTAATTTCAATACGTTTTGTTCCTATCAGCCATAATTGGTTCCATGGTGCGTCAATTACTTAAAATCAATCTATAATAAAAGAAGCTATATTTAAATCTCAACCGATTATCACGAAACATGGCACACATCTTTCTGGACTAAATTCAGTACGCTATGCCGAATTTCGAAGAAATCGAAGGATATATAGAGACTTTGGTGCACCATTTATATGAAATCGGACGAAAGTATATATGGTAGTTATCTCTAAATATGGTCCGATTATCTCGAAACTTGGCAGACATCACTCTAGGCTCAATTCAGTATGTTATGCCAAATTTCGTGCAAACCGAAGAATATATATAGGGACGTTGGGCACCATTTACATGAGATCGGACGAAAGTACATATGGAAGCTATATCTAAATCTGGACCGATTTTCTCGAAACTTGGCAGACATCACTATAGGCTCAATTAGTACGTTATTCCAAATTAGGTGCAAATCGAAAGATATATAAAGACTTTGGTGCACCATTTACATGAAATCGGAGGAAAGTATATATGGGAGCTATATCTAAATCTGGACCGATTTTCTCGAAACTTGGCTCCCTTATATTATAGATTGACTTTAAGTAATTGACACACCAAGGAACCAATATACGTTATGCCAAATTTCATGCAAATTGAAGGATATATAGGGACTTTGGTGCACCATTTACATGAAATCGGACGAAGTATATATGGGAGCTATATCTAAATCTAAACCGATTTTCACGAACCATTTTAGGCTCAATTCAGTACGTTACAAATTTGGTGCAGATATATATCACCATTTATATGAAATCTATATATGAAGCGATTTTCACGAAACATAACAAACATCATTCTAGATTTTATTCAGTACGCTATGCCACATTTCGTGCAAATCGAAAGATATATGTGGACTTTGGTGCACCATTTATATGAAATCGGACGAAAATATATATATGAGCTATATGTAAATCTGAATCTGATTTCACGAAACTTGGCAGACATCACTCTAGGCTCAATTCAGTACGTTATGCCAACTTTCGGGCAAATCCAAAGATATTTAGGAATTTGGTGCACCATTTACCTTAAATCGGACGAAAATATATATGGGAACTATATCTAAATCTGAACCGATTTTTGCGAATCTCGTCACACATCTTTCTAGACTCAATTGGTGTAAATCGAAAGGATATATAAGAGCTTTGGTGCACCATTTACCTTAAATCGGACGAAAGTATATATGTGAGCCATATATAAATCTGAACCGATTTTTCCCATTTTCAATAGGGTTCGTCCTTGGGCCAAACAAATGAGCTGTGCCAAATTTCATCCAAATCGGATTATAAATTTGTTTACAGTTTAACACAACAGACGGACGGACATACATAAATCGACTCAGAAAGTGATTCTATGCATATTCTTAAAAGGAACTATAGGTCTATCTTGTTTCCTTTTGCCTGTTACAAACATATGCACAAAGACATAATATCCTGTACCACCCTGTACCCTTCATGAATTACACCTGATTCAGCTGCCCTTAATTGTGAATAAGAACGTACGTTGTTCATCGATATCTATGCTAATGTCTTGTTTGGTACCTAGGTTATGTGGCTTTTCGATGAAATTATAAGACATGATACATTTTTGCCGTTTCGGATTTTTATGATTTTAATAAAGAAAACAATTACATGGAATAAACCTTATTTTAGGCATTAATTTAATTTTTAGCAATAGGTGGCTCACTTTCAGTGAGCCAGTAAGCAAGTTCTTAAAGAAGCCAGAAGCCAGTTTTGATAAAGCCAGAATCCCACCACGTTTCGTATATGTTTATTATTTACTTACAATAAAAACCTACTGACAGCTAGAATAGTTAACAAATTAACATCATTAGGACATTGACATTGATTTCCAATGCAAAAAAGATTCATTCAACTTCATTCATCGATAGATGTTTAAAAATGTCTTCACCTAATAGGTAGGGTGAGCTTTCAAAATTGAACCTTTATCTAAACGGTCACAGTCGTATATCACAATTTGTTACGACAATACTACTACTATTCTTGTATAAGTATTGTCAGTGTATGTCATTTTGCAAAAGGTAAATAGCAAATAATAACAATAACAACAACAATAACACATACTTGTTTATCATATCTCATTACAATCTATTGAGTAATCGATTCTCTATATAAAGATGCGTTCAAGTTGTTCTAAAAACCAGTTTCGCTGTGAATAGCAAAGATGAGGATACAAATAACAAGTTCGCCATTTATCGGAACAATAGTTGTTGTTTGCATTTTAGCATCTAATGGATTGGCACAACGATTTAATCCCCGAGATCTGGGGAGATCAGCTGCTGATATAATTCGTGGATTGGGCACACAGGCCATAAGAGAAATACCAACACCCCAGGATTTGCTGTATACCTCAATTCAGTTATTAGTTGGATTGCCCGAACAAACTGTTGTCGGTATTATCAATCAGGCATGTGAGTAAAGGGGAAACTTCTAAACATGGCTGATTAATTGAATTAAGGGATTATATTCGAAATAAATTTTATTTATAGGTTCGCTTTATTTGGCATCGGGTGCAATTAATCCACGTATTACACCCAATATCGAGGAAATGTATTACCAGTTGAGAACTCCTTGCAAAAATATCAGTGTTCCTCTCCAGCAACCGGAGCAGCTTGTAAATCTACCGGAATTTGATGTGAACAAGCAAGTTGTTATCTTTGTTAGTGGTTGGGGTTCAGATGCTAATAGTTCCTACATTCAAGATTTCGCCAATGCTTATAATTGTCGTGGCGATTACAATTTTGTGGTAAGATGTTTTTTTATCGCTATCTACTATTTCTAAGACAATGTGGCGCCCGTTCGTCGCTATCTTCGGTTCTGCAAATTTGCATATAGTTGTCTTTTGTCTGCATGCAGGTCAGGTTCGAAGATGGGATATAACGGTCTACGTTTAGGCATAGCTACGATAAAATCCAGTTATTCGGTATATTAAGGATTTTTCACGCATTTTTCAATCGAAATGGGTGTAATTAGATATTTTTGGTTGCAAAAAAAAAAAAAAAAAAAAAATCACAATATCAGTACATATTTAGGTATAGCCCCCATATAACGGCACCTCAAAGTTATCAGTATTTAAAGGATTATGGACACTTTTTTAATCGGGTTTACTATAAATTAATATTTTGGACAAATATTCCTGCACTCATATAACGGTGCCCCCAAAGTCGATATCGTGGGGATTAAATTGATACGTTGGGTTTTTATTGGGTATCAAATCTTTATGCCAATATTGGCCCATATAAAGGATCCACACATTTTTGGTATTTTGAAGACTTTAGCAGCAATTCGCCTCAAACCGATAGCCCCGCTTTAAAAACGTCCCTCCCAATTTTCAGTATTTTTAAGGGTTTAGTCCAATTTTTCAACCGAAATGGCACAAATTTGATATTCACTGTTCTTGGAGGTTAACAAAACTTCGGTATGGGTCTATATTTTAGCAAGAATCCCATATAAAGGCCCCGCCTCATTTTCAATATTTGAAGGTGTATAAAACTTTTTCGTGGCATTTTCCCACCGAAGTTGCTGTAATCTGATATATCAAGTACTTGTAGGATGAAAAACATATTTGCAGAAAATTTTGAAATAGTTCCATATAAGGGCTCCGCCCCTTTTTCGGTATTTTTAAGGTCTTAGCCGCAGTTGTAGTAATTGTAAATGTTCAAAATAGGTCCATGGTTTTGAATAACCCCCATATAAGGTGCGACACCATTACACCCTATTTTTATACCCTCCACCATAGTATGGAGGGTATATTAATTCCATATAAGGGCCCCGTCCCTTTTTCGGTATTTTGAAGGTCCTAGCCGCAGTTGTAGTAATTTGAAACGTTCAACATAGGTCCATGGTTTGAAATAACCCCCATATAAGGTGCGACACCATTACACCCTATTTTTATACCCTCCACCATAGTATGGAGGGTATATTAATTTTGTCATTCCGTTTGTAACTCATCGAAATATTAATTTCCGACCCTATAAAATATACATATTCTTGATCAGGGTAAAATTTTAAGACGATATAGCCATGTCCGTCCGTCTGTTGTAATTACGCTATCTCTGAAGGAATTGAGATAGGGTGCTGAGATTTTGCATAGGGTTGTCTTTTGTCTGCAGGCAGGTCAAGTTCGAAGATGGGATATATCGGTCCACGTTTAGGCATAGCTCCCATATAAGCGTACCCCCCAATTTTCGGTATTTTGGGGTTCTTGAGCGCGTTTTTCAACCGAATTCACGGAATATTGGTACATTGGGTTCTTATTGGGTACTAAATGTATCCACAAAAAATTATAAATATAGGTCCACTTTCTCTGGTAGCCCCCATATAACGGTACCTCCTAATTTTCAGTATTTTGTGGGTTTTGTTCGTATTTTTCCACCGAATCGGCTGTAATTTAGTATTTTGAGTTCTTAATAGGTTCCAAATCTCTCCACTCCACTCTCTCCAATTTTTGATATTTTGGGGTTCTTGAGCGCGTCTTTCAACCGAATTCGCTGCAATTTGGCATTTAGTTGTCGTGTATGGTAACAAATCTCTCCACCAAAAATTATTGATATTCGCCCCCTTTTTGGGGTAGGCCCCATGCAACCCCTTTTTTTATAATAAAAAAGTTATCTAATTTGTTCCGTGTTTTGGGTTTGGTTCTAAGATTCTGTTGTAATCTTTTCATCTGCGGAGGAAAAAACTAGAACGCAAGATTCGATAATGAACTATAACCCGCTTTTAGACCTAGCCCCTCTGTGGGAGGTACCAGGAGGAGTGGACCGATATTCCACATCTTCGAAATTGAACTAAGTTTGGAAGAAATAATAAGTTGGGCAAAGTTTGGATGAAATCAAAATTTTCTGTAACTAATTTGGTCGAAAGAAACATGGGGTCTAAAACTAATATTTCGATGAGACACATTTTCACCGTGTGAATGTGTATAATTACCCATTAAAATTTTTTGAAATTGGTTTATGAATTGGTCTATGGTTTACATAATCGGTTTGTAGAAATGTCGGTATAGGTCCACTTTTTGGTATTTCATTTCAAGTACCTGTCAGTATATCTGTGGTGGAGGGTATCCAAAGTTCGGCCCGTCCGAACTTAACGCTTTTCACATGTTTGCTATGGTACAGGATATTATGTCTTTGTGCATATGTTTACAAAAGGAAACTAAATAGGTCCACAGTTCCTTTTCCGAACATGCATAGAATCACTTTCTAAGTCTATTTATGAATGTCCGGCAGCCCGTCTGTCTTTCTGTTGATATAAAATTGTAAAGAACGCACAGGTCGTGTTTGTGAACCCAACAAGATGAGATTTAGCACAGCTCATTTATTTGGACCAAGGACGAACCCTATAAAGTCTCGTCCGATTTCCGGTAAATGGTCCGATTTCCGGTAATGTGTCAATTTTTGTTCATATCGGTTCAGATTTATATGTAGCTCTCATATATATTTTCGTCCGATTATGGGTAAATGGTGCACCGAAGATCCAAAGTCAGTCCGATTGGCACAACATTTTTCACATAATACTGAAATAGAAATCCTCTTTTAATTTTAACGGAAATCGGTTTAGATTTAAATATAACTTCCATATATAGCTTCATCCGATTTTCGTTAAATGGTGCACGAAACTACTCAACGTTGATACAATTGACATGAAATTTTGAACAGCATGCCGGATATATAAATTTTGAACAGCATACCGGATGTAGATATAGCTCTCATATATATCTTAGTCCGATGCAATGGTGCACCAAATACCCAATGTTTGTTCTATTAGCACTAAATGGGGCTAGAATGAATTTTGTAATGTTTAATGGAAATCGGTTCAGATTTAGATATAGACCATATATATATCCGACTTTTGTGCTTTACTTACTGGATGCTCTTTACTTTCATTGGGTATTTCGGAGTCTATGCGAATAAAAAATTTCTTCCTGTTAATTTTTGGTGAGTAAAAAATTTATAACCCACTTTTTCAAGTTTCTCAGATCATGAACCACATGCTATAGGTCCCTGACCGAATTAAGGAATTTTAAATGCAACCGAACCTAACACAGCCTTTATTTGTTTAATTTTTTTTAATACTTTCACTTTCTTTCAGTACATAAAAACTTCGGATTCCATTAAAACTTTGTATACATGGTCGGCATTCAATACCGAAGAAGTAGGCGATATACTTGCGGAGAGCTTAAGTCAATTAACTGAATATATACCCGTAGAAAATATCCACCTAATTGGTCATAGTTTGGGTGGACAAATTGTCGGCAGTGCTGGACGTCAATTTAAAAATTTAACCGGCCAATTGTTGCCTCGCATTACTGGCTTAGACCCTGCGAACCCCTGTTTCAATGAAGGCGAATCTTTAGAGGTTATTTCACGTGGTGATGCTGAATTTGTCGATATCGTTCATTCAAATCCAGGTGTTTTGGGAAAACCACAATCATTAGGCGATGTTGATTTTTATCCAAATGGTAAACAGGCCGTCAAACCGGGTTGCGTTAATTTTGGTTGTTCGCATGAACGTTCGATACGTTATTTCATTGAAACGGTGTATCCCGGTAATGAGAGAAATTTCTTAGCGAAACGTTGCAATTCGTTGTCCGGTTTGAATGGTGGTCGCTGTGATGGGCCAGAATATCCCATGGGTTATGCAGTGCCACATGATTTGAAGGGTGATTATTATTTGAATGTGAATGCGGAACAACCATATGGTAAAAATGCGCCGGAAAATGCTACAGTTCAACCAAACGAATGTGGTCTTTGTGATAGCCCGTAAAAAAATGTTATTTAATTATTATGCACAAATTGTTTAAATGCACTTGTTAATTATATATTTAAAATTGTTGTTAATATATACTAATGGTAAATATATGATGTTGAAAAAAATAATAATAAAAAAATAAACTAACACCTGTTCCTTATCTTAAAATATTTCATTTTAAATGAAGTGCAGGTTGCATTTAGGTGGCACGAACTTATTGGGCCAAGGACGAACCCTTTTGAAATTGTAGAAAATCGGTTTAGATTTATATTACGTTGAGGAAAAAGAAATCCATTAGGCCTGTCGTGGAAAATGTCTATGAAATCGGAGAAATGATCGGAGTTGGCCGTAATGTTTGCAGTCGTAACATCGCCCAGGAGCTAAAAATCGACCATAAGATTGTTTTAAACTATTTACACAAAGAAATAAAAAAAAACAGTAAGGAAAGTAGTAAAGTCGGACGGGGCCGACTATATGATACCCTTCACCACTATCGGTGTATTAAAAAGATGCATCCTAACAGAGGGCCATTAACATGAAATTGAATGAAATAAAATATGTGACCTTTATCTAAATGTGAATCGACTTAGATCATAAACTAATTTAGACTAATTTATGCACGGTTTGTTCCTAATCGACATATTTTGGGTCTTACTTAAAATCGGACGAAACTATATGGGAGCTAAATCTAAATTTGGACGGATTTCAACAAAACTTGACACACGCTTGGCTAAACTATTTTATGTGCGTTGTGCAAAATTTTGTGTCAACTTTGAGTCTTTGGTGCTTATTTTTTTTTAATCGGAAGTTGATATATATGGGAGCAATATCTAAATCCGCACTGGTTTCAGTAAAACTTGACACACGTTACGTTACACGAACTTTAGTACGTTGTGCAAAATTGTGTGGCAATCTGCCTACCTTTGTATGGCAATCTGCCCAACACACATAATTCTAGACTCAATTCAGTACGCTATGTCAAATTTCCTGCAAAATTAAAATCAAATCGGGCGAAAATATATGGGAGCTTTATCTAAATCTGAACCGATTTTCACGAATCTAAACACACATCATTCTAGACTCAATTCAGTGCGCTATGCTAAATGCTGTGCAAATCAAAAGATATATAGGGTACACCATTTACATTAAATCGAATCTTAACACACAGCATTCTAGACTCAATTCAGTACGCTATGCCAAATTTCGTGGAAATCGAAAGTTATACAGGGACTTTGGTGAACCATTTACATTAAATCGGTCGAACATATATTTGGGAGCTATATCTAAATCGGAACCGATTCCGAAATTTTACACACATCATTCTAGACTCAATTCAGTACGTCATGCCAAATTTCGTGGAAATCGAAAGATAAATAGGGACCTTGGTACACAATTTACATTAAATCGGACGATTTTCAAGAAATTTTACACACATTATTCTATACTCAATTCAGTACGCTGTGCCAAATTTCGTGCAAATCAGAAGATATAAAGAGACTTTGGTACACCATTTACATGAAATCGGACGAAAATATATGGGAGCTATATCTAAATCGGAACCGATTTTCAAGAAATTTTACACACGCTGTGCCAAATTTCGTGCAAATCGGAAGATATATAGGGACTTTGGTACACCTTTTACATGAAATAGGACGAAAATATATATGGGAGCTATATCTAAATCTGAACCGATTTTTCCCAATTTCAATAGGGTTCGTCCTTGGGCCAAACAAATGAGCTGTGCCAAATTTCATCCAACTCGGATCATAAATGCGACCTGTACTTTGTTTACAATTTAACATAGACAGACAGACGGACGGACATGCATAAATCGACTTAGAAAGAGAGTCTATGCATATTCTCAAAAGAAACCATGTGTCTATCTCGTTTCCTTTTGCCTGTTACAAACATATGCACATAATACCCTGTACCACAGTGTGGTGAAGGGTGTAAAAAGCTCTATGTTTGGGTGCCACACCAACTAACAGAAAAAAATCTGTGAAGCCTTGACCAAACGGGAGATAGACCCATTTTTTAAACGGATGGTGAGAAAACGATCGTAGTCAAAGAGCATAACTATACCAGGGAAGGTTTTGTTTTGTAAGGGGAAAGAGAGTATTTTGTGGTTTTTATGAATTTTCTCCAATAAGAATAATTTAAGGAAAATATAAAAAAGAGAATTTACAATATCATATAATGAAAATAAAATTTCTGATAACGTTTTTCTGTTCTAAAAACCTACTGGTTATATTCAAAAATCGATCATTTAAATAATTTTTTCAAAATAATTACACAAATTTTTAGTGAATAACTCTGACCTTCAAAATATGTTTAGCCAACATTCCTAATAAAAATGGGATTAAAAAGTCCTCTTGGTTAGTTTAAAAATGTTCTTTGAAGAAATAGACCGTAGGAATCGAAATGTTAAATTATAGCCAATTCATAATGCTAAAATATTGTTAATTCGAGTGGAAATGCGGCGGAACCATTAAAATACCTATAAAGAAACTCGACCTTTATATGGGGGCTATACCCAAAGATTTTTATAATTTTTATAGGAATCTTGCCAACCAATGAGAACTTGAAATATAAATTTCTAGACAATTTGGTTGAAAAGCGTGCCAAAATATCCGGTATATTGATATCGCTATATGGGAACTATACCAAAACGTGGATCGATATTGATAATGTTTGGTAGAAAGAGTAACTCCGAATACGAGGAGCAGAGGTGAATGCTATTGAACGCGTTCACAACTTGTCCTAAAAATACCTATATATATATATAATGGCCTCGTGCATACGGTTTCCAATTAGGGTACCGATAGTATGGAGCACCAAACCTATGGCTTGTCCGATTGAGAAATAATTTTGCACATCATACTGAATGATGTCCAGATTGATGTCCGTGAAGTTAAGGTTTCTTAAGGTTTGTCCCATTGAGACACAATTTTGCATAGGGTACTGCATTAAATCCAGTTCGATGTCTGTAAAGTTTTGTTGAAATTGATTGGAATTTAGATATAGCTCACATACAGGATTTCATTTCGGGGAGGTAGTACAAAATGAAAACATTCGCTGTTGCAAACATAAATTTACTGTAAAAAAAAAATTAATTTGGGGGGCCCCTCTGCGTACGTCCCTGGCTCCCATATATAATTTAGTCCGATTTTAGGTTAAAGGTGCACCATAGATCCTGTTCCATTTGCACGAGTCTTGAATGACGTTTGTTAAGTTTTATTGAAATCGATTCAGATTTTTATATAGCTTCCATATATAGTTTTGTCCAATTACATGCAAATAGTGCTCCGAGTAACCTATGGTTGTTCGCTTTACATTGAAATCGAAATTTGTTGAAATCGGATCAGGTGACCCATTTTTGCACTGGATCGACAATGTCCATTTAAAAATATCGGTCACATTTTGGAAATTATGTAAAATAAATATAAAAAACCTCAAATGTTTCTATGCCATAAAATACATAAAAGAATAAATAAACAATAAATAGCGTGATATTTTGAAAATTTGAATTTTATCGCATCGATCGCATTATCATTTATATTAAAAAATATTTTATTCTTCTCTATAATTGTTGACTTTAGAGGCTGGTAAAAACAATAACTTTATATCATTACAATCTCCTGACTTGGTTTCCTATATAAATATGTAAAAAATTGTACTAGGAATTACATGTTCGGTTCGATTCTAACGGGAATAACAAAATGAAACTACAAACGAAAATAACAAATTTTATTCGCCCAATAATTTTAGTGTGTGCTATCGCGGCTAATGTAGTGGCACAATCAGTGGACTTTAGTGCCATGGCAAAATCAGCAGCTAGCATTATTGAAGGATTCGGTTCACAAGGATCAAAACAAATACCAACACCAAGTCAAATGTTCTCCATTCCCGTTCAGGTGTTAATTGGTTTCCCCGAACAAGTAATGTTTGGTGTTCTCAATCGGGCATGTGAGTAAAGTGAAAAAGTATCTGGAATAGTAGATCAAATTTTACATTTACAAAAAAATGTTAAAAGAAAAAATAGTGAAAATTTAGTAGATTTTTGCAGTTCTGGAATATATCGATTATTAACTTTACAACGCAACAAGATTTTGGAGGGTGTAAAATTTATTATGTGATTAAAAACACTTGACGGAAATATTAAGAATTCAGAAGAAAAAATTCGGTAAAGGTCAAGTTTATGTGTTATGGCGGATGTACTTTAGAATTACCAGCCAAAAATTCATTCAGCCATAACTTAAAAATTTAACCTATGACAAATTTGTCCTTCTGTTTTCTTAATATACTCACCAAGGACTTTCATCTTCACACGGAATTTTCCATTCCTTCTAGAACACAAGGTAATTCAATTTAATTTTCCATTTATTCTTAGGTTCCCACATTTTGGCCTCGAACGTAAAACATATCTCGATTCCGCCCAAAGTTGACAAGATGTACTTCCAGTTGAGAACACCTTGCAAAAATATAAACGTCCCACTTCAACAACCGGAGGAACTAATCAATCTACCAGAATTTGATATCAATAAGAAAGTTGTATTCTTTTTTAGTGGCTGGGCAACCAAAGGCAATGAAAGTCACATTCAGGAACTGGCCAATGCTTATAACTGTCGTGGTGATTATAATTTTGTGGTTAGTAGATAACAAGTGAAAAAGCGTTAAGTTCGGCCGGGCCGAACTTTGGATACCCTCCACCATAGATATACTGACAGGTACTTGAAATGAAAATATGGGGAAAATACCAAAAAGTGGACCTATACCGACATTTCTACAAACCGATTATGTAAACCATAATATCAGCCTTATGGCTACTGAGGGTGTATACACTTTGAGTGTATACGGTCCACCTAAAAGTGGACCGATATATCGAATCTTCGAACTTAACCTGCCTGCAGACAAAAGACAAACCTGTGCAAAATTTCAGCACCCTATCTCAATTCCTTCGGAAGATAGCGTGATTACAACAGACGGACGGACGGACATGGCTAGATCGTCTTAGAATTTTACCCTGATCAAGAATATATATACTTTATAGTGTCGGAAATGAATATTTCGATGAGTTACAAACGGAATGACAAAATTAATATACTCTCCATACTATGGTGGAGGGTATCAAAATTCGTAATCCCACCAAACTGAATAGTTGTGGACTCAATCGTATGTCTGGACATTTCGTGTACGCATCTACTGATTGTTGGGGTAGAAATTTGTATATCCTCTACGATGAGGTGCACATCTAAACAAACCAACATCGGATGAGATCCTTACATGGGGCTATTTCCAAAATGGACCTACATTGTAAATTCCCCAGTCAGAAAATAGGGTGTGACATTTTAGGGATACCAGTTTTCTGTGAAGCAGTTTTGTACCCACCAAGAACCCCGAATTTTTTGTTGTGATAGATATGCCATAACATGGACCTATATCGATAACATGGACCTATATGGAAGAAATATGTTGTTCACTCTCCTCAAACTTGGAATCGTAAATTGCAGCCCCAGCGGCAGGAAAATGTTCTTTGAACCAAAAACCCGGTATGACAAGTTACAGACCCTTTGATTTGATGAAGTGGGAAACTTGGACCTATATTACATGGGGCTATTTCCAAAATTGACCTACATTGTAAATTCCCCAGTCAGAAAATAGGGTGTGACATTTTAGGGATACCAGTTTTCTGTGAAGCAGTTTTGTACCCACCAAGAACCCCGAATTTTATTGTTGTGATAGATATGCCATAACATGGACCTATATCGATAACATGGACCTATATGGAAGAAATATGTTGTTCACTCTCCTCAAACTTGGAATCGTAAATTGCAGCCCCAGCGGCAGGAAAATGTTCTTTGAACCAAAAACCCGGTATGACAAGTTACAGACCCTTTGATTTGATGAAGTGGGAAACTTGGACCTATATTGGAATTTTTATATAAAGTTTTTTTTTTTTTACTTTCAAGAATGCGGAATGCCAAACTGCAGCAACGTCAGTCACAAACTTCGGTTAAAACTTTCAAAATTCCGAAAATGTCCCGTTTCTTTATATTGGAGTCATAGTAAGGTATGGATTCATACCGAACATTTTCTGAAACAATATTTTTTCAACCTCTATAAACCGGGAATGCCATATTACAGCCCATTCTGTTAAGAACTTCAAAATACCGACAAAAAAAATGTTGCATTGCACTCCTTTATATAGAAACATTATCAAACTTTTCACCCTCTAAACGTCCAGTATGACAAATCCTAGAACCTTTTAAATAGTTGAAAAGCGATTTCAACATTTAATATATCTAAAATTCGTCCTTTTGGTCATTCAAAATACATAACATGTCTGAAAAATGGTATTCACTCTGAAAATTCGTAATACTAAATTACAGACACTTTAGTGTGAAAATGCAGATTAATCCTACAATGGAGCGAGTCCTCTTCCCTCTAACAATCTGAAACGCAAAATTACAGTCTCCAAATTATTTTAAAAGGGTTGGAAGCTTTATATGGGGGCTATGTCCGGACATGTGCCTGTATTGCAAATTTTCTGCATACATGTTTTTAACACTCGAAGAACCCGGAAATCAAAATTATAACCACTTTATTTGAAATTAGTTTAATATACCTAAAAATAAGGTACCGATATCTATATTTTTCTAAACCTCCAATAACCTCTTTGCAGTATGTAAATGTCGCCGATTCCATCGAAACATTATATGTGTGGTCCGCCATAAATACCGATCAAATTGGTCAACATGTTGCCGAGAGCTTGCAGAAATTTACCGAAACTGTACCGGTGGAAAATATACATTTAATTGGTTTGAGTTTTGGTGCACAGGTAGTTGGGGCGGTGGGACGCAAATATAAAGAACTAACTGGACAGCCGTTGCCACGCATTACCGGCTTAGATCCTGCCAATCCTTGTTTCAATGAAGGTCAAAGTGTATCGACAATATCACGTAGTGATGCCTCATTTGTTGATATAATTCATACCAATCCTGGTGCACTGGGAAAAGCCGAATCATTGGGACACGTTGATTTCTATGTTGGTGGTAAAGGTGCCATCCAACCGGGAAGTTTGCAGTTTAGCTGTTCTCATTTACGGTCCGTTGATTATTACATTGAAACGGCTTATCCCGGTAATGAGGGAAATTTCATGGGAAAACGTTGTGATTCGATAGAGAATTTAAATAATGGTCACTGTGATGGTCTGGATCATCCTATGGGATATTCAACACCACATGATTTGGAAGGAGATCATTATTTAAATGTGAATCCACAACAACCGTATGGTAAAAATGCTGCAGCTACTGCTATGACTTCGTCGAACCATTGTGGTCATTGTGATGGCCAATAGATATTTTGGAAATGCTTCTGAAATATATTTTCTTTAAAAAATAATATACAGGCAATAAAAATTAAGACATTAAATGTTAATAATTTCTTTGGAGGAATGGCATTCTTGGTAAGTATAATAGAATGATTGTTTTTATACCCTTCACCACACTGCCGTACAGGGTATGTGGTGAAGGGTACCCTTTCAGTTTTACTGTCGAATATATTCGACATTTGCGATTTTTCGGTTATCCTATGTACCGTTACTATTGATGTTTTTGTTTTTACTGAAAGAGGAGACTAACCTGGCCAATGGTTAAAATGAAAATTGCTATTTTTTCTCAACTCTGTGCCTTTATATGATCTTAAATACAAAATTTTAGATTTTTATTCCGACAATTTTTTCTTCGACACTGAAGAGGATTAAAAATTAGGCTTAGCTCCCATTTATATTTTCGACCGATTTAATGTAAATGGGTCTCATGTTCCAACTAAAGTTAGGTTTGGTATGAATAATAGCTTGTACAAAATTTGATTCAAATTGGACATTTCCTTCGCCTGATACTGGATTTATAAATATTGAAAATGTTTACTATTTATGGGGGAGGTACAAGAAGGAGTGGACCAGTGGGTCCCATGTTCGGACTATATCTAGGATTGGTAAGGATAATAGTTTGTGCAAAGTTTGTTTCAAATCGGACATTCCATTCGCCTGATATTGGATTTATAAATATTGAAAAATTTAACCATTTGTTGGGGAGATACCAAAAGGAGTGGAAGAATGGGTCCCATCTTCGGACTAAACCATGGTTTGGTATGGATAACAGTTTGTGCAAAGTTTGGTACAAATCGGACATTTCGGTCTCCTAATATTAATGTTTATAAATGTTTGTGGGGGAGGTACCGGAAAGAGTTGACCAGTTGGTCCCATATTCAGACTTGATCTAGGCTTGGGAAAGATAATTGTGCAAAATAAATTAAATTTTAGTAAAATTTAGTGCCAAATTTCATGATTCGAGCTCTAAAGGTTCACCCAAATCCCAATTTTACCAAATTTAGTTCCATTTAGCACACATAATTTCCATAAGTTAATCCAACAAAAATTCCTGCATACCCCGATCCTACACCCCCACAATGATTCCAAATTCAAGTTTAAGGATTTCAAATCTATCGGTTCAACCACAATTCAAATTGTACCAAATTTAGTACACAGTAGCACGAATGTCAAAAACTTCCTACTTAACTCAAACCTTCACCCTCACAGTGATCATAAATCTATGTTTCAGGTTCCAACTCTATCGCTTCTCCCACAATTCAAATTGTACTAAATTTAGTACATAGTAGTACCAATTTCCAAAACTTTCTGCATTCCCCAATCCTACATCTCTACAGTGATCCGAAATCCATGTTTCAGGATTCTAATTCTATCGGTTCACTCACAATTCAAATTGTACCAAATTTAGTACATAGTTGTACCAATTTCCAAAACTTCCTACATACTCCAATCCTACACCTACAGCGATCCTAAATCTAAATTTCAGGATTCCATCTCTATCGCTTCATCCACAACTTAAATTGTACCAAATTTGGTACACATTAGTACACATTTCTAAATCTTCCCACATATCTCAATCTTACACCTCAACAATAATCCTGACTCCAAATTTCATGATTCTAGCTCTATTGGTTCACCTAAAATTCAAATTGTACCAAATTTAGTACCAGTTAGTACCGATAACTAATAATGTCTTGAACTGAATTCTGACCCTAATCCTACACCCCTACAATGATCCTAACTCCAAATTTCATTGTTCGCGCTCTATCGGTTCACTCAAATCCAAAGTGTACTAATTATAGTACGATTTAGTACTATTCGTACATATATGTAAACATTTTCAAAACTACGTACATATCCCAATTCTACACTCCGACGGTAATGTTAATTTCAAATTTCTGAATTCCAAATTGTACAAAATTAAGTACTTTTTAGTACGTTTGGCATACTTATAGTTCGAATGTCCAAAAAAACCTTTGCTGTATCTATTCTACACTCCATCAGTGACCCTCATTAACAAAAACTTAAAGTTCTAGCTCTACCGGTTCGTCAAATGCAAATGGTATCACATTTAGTACTTTTTGCACCGATCTAGTACGAATTTCCAAAAACCCAGTCTTATATATCACCTTTGGACCAAGAGTGACCCTCACCACAAAATTTCAAGATTCTAGCTTCAGCCGTTTCGTCCGGGCGTTGATGAATCGTTAAGTCAGTCAATCACTTTACTCTTTTAGTAGTAAAGATTTTGTAGGAGAGGTACCAGAAGGATTGGACCAATGAGTCCCATCTTCGAACTAAATCTAGGCTTGGTAAGGATAACTCAAAATACAAAACTACAACCAATCTTGCCGTGCCCATACTCCCCGTTATTTGGAAGGTACCGGGGGCTATTACAAAAAGTAAAGCTCCTAAAGCAATTTACAATGATCGAAGTGACTTTATGCATTGTTTTATCGATATTTGCCACGAAGTTCACCATAGAAAGGGTAGCGTGAGCATTTGATGTCGGCAGACGTTTATCAAATAGATGATATCTCAACAATAACTGACAATGCCTGTATTATTATATAATTATTACTTTTGATAACAATGACTTTTGTCAAGATGAACAATTACAAAACCAGCAACAACAAATTGCAATCAATAGGCACTATGCATTTCTACATATAAACATGTTCTAGAACTAGTACTAGAAATTAGTTCTACAATTAATAAAAACCACAATGAAGCTGCAATTAAAATTCGCTAAATTTATTGGTGAGCTAATTTTAATTTGTGCCACCATCACCAGTCAAGTTGCAGGCCAGGGTATAAATTTTAATGATTTCGGAAATTCGGCTGTTAATATTATTCAAGGATTAAGTTCACAAGGCATACAGGAAATACCAACACCAGATAAAATATTCTCTACATCAATTCAAGTGTTATTTGGTTTCCCCGAACAAGTAATTTTTACTGCTATCAATCAGGCATGTAAGTCGAAAGGGGAATCTGTAATTCAAGTTAAGGATTATTGGAAATTTCTTGAAATGTTTTTGTCTTTTCAGGTTCGTTGTTTTTGGCTTCGGGAGCTATTAATCCCCGAGTAACTCCCAGTGTTGAGAAAATGCATTTCCAATTGAGAACTCCATGTAAAAATATAAGTGTTCCTCTGCAGCAACCAGAGGAGCTTGTTAATTTAGAGGAATTCGATATTGAGAAGAAAGTAGTTATATTAGTAAGTGGTTGGGGTTCGGATGGAAATAAGAGTACATATATTCAAGATTTTGCCGATGCTTTTAATTGCCGGGGTGAACATAATTTTGTGGTAAGTGTTAAACAACAACAACAATAATAATAATAAAACCAGTGAGCGGAGCAGTATAGTCGGACGGGACCGACCATACGATACCCTACACAACTACCACGGAAATCGAACTTTCTGCGGATGTTTATTCCGAGCCTGGCAATATTTCTTGATATTTGCACCCTCCGATTAGAGGTAAACATCACCTCTTCCTTACACTGACATATTTTCCGAATACTATGAGTATTCAGTATTGTGTTGTGATGTTCGGCTTTCATTTGTGGTCTATAGATCGATTCGAAAATAACACAAAAAATTAAGTTTTCACTGAAAATTATAGGCATTGTCCTTGACCATAACTGGAACCTCATGGAACATTTCAAAGTGATCAGCACTATAGTTCCGCTCTCTAGAGTGATAATGTGATAATAATACGGAGATAGCTTTAAATATTTAGGTGTAACTCCCACTTCCGAGCACATACAACAATATAATTGGTATTAGTTTAAAGGTCAACCACTCATCTTGGATATAATATCAACTTATCGGGTCTATGTCCTTCAGGGGTAAATATATACGCTATAGAATACAATACAAATTTTGTTATTTTTCACACAAAAGTCAGGGTCCATTTGACCCGCTAAATATTGACCGGTCTTTATCAAAACAGGCCCGATCCCCTTCTCCATGCAAAATTTCACGATGTTCGGGCCATTATTGCGGCCTCTGGAGCGACCAGAAAAACCGACAAAAACTTATTTGGTCCATTTCATCCCCTAAATATTAACCGATCTTTCCCAAAAACAATAGGGGTATTCATTGACCAGAACCCATCCTACATGCGAAAATTCGTGAAGATTGGCCCATAACTGTGACCTGTATCGTGTTTACAAATTATAGTGGACAGACGGACGGACGGACACACATGTCTAGATCGACTCATCTAGTCGAGATATGACGATCGGTATACTTAAAGGTGGGTCCAGGACCAATATTTCGCGGCGTTACAAACTTTTGGGACTGCACAAAGCTATAATACCCTAACAACATAGTTGTGTAGGGTATAAATATATTTTTATAGGACTTAGGGCGTGGAGGTTTATATTTTTCAAGGGCCAACTGAGGCGTGGATTTATTAAAGAATATTTTTCAAGGGCCAACTGAGGCGTGGATTTATTAAAGAATATTTTTCAAGGGCCAACTGAGGCGTGGATTTATTAAAGAATATTTTTCAAGGGCCAACTGAGGCGTGGATTTATTAAAGAATATTTTTCAAGGGCCAACTGAGGCGTGGATTTATTAAAGAATATTTTTCAAGGGCCAACTGAGGCGTGGATTTATTAAAGAATATTTTTCAAGGGGCAACTGAGGCGTGGATTTATTAAAGAATATTTTTCAAGGGCCAACTGAGGCGTGGATTTATTAAAGAATATTTTTCAAGGGCAACTGAGGCGTGGATTTATTAAAGAATATTTTTCAAGGGCCAACTGAGGCGTGGATTTATTAAAGAATATTTTTCAAGGGCCAACTGAGGCGTGGATTTATTAAAGAATATTTTTCAAGGGCCAACTGAGGCGTGGATTTATTAAAGAATATTTTTCAAGGGCCAACTGAGGCGTGGATTTATTAAAGAATATTTTTCAAGGGCCAACTGAGGCGTGGATTTATTAAAGAATATTTTTCAAGGGCCAACTGAGGCGTGGATTTATTAAAGAATATTTTTCAAGGGCCAACTGAGGCGTGGATTTATTAAAGAATATTTTTCAAGGGCCAACTGAGGCGTGGATTTATTAAAGAATATTTTTCAAGGGCCAACTGAGGCGTGGATTTATTAAAGAATATTTTTCAAGGGCCAACTGAGGCGTGGATTTATTAAAGAATATTTTTCAAGGGCCAACTGAGGCGTGGATTTATTAAAGAATATTTTTCAAGGGCCAACTGAGGCGTGGATTTATTAAAGAATATTTTCAAGGGCCAACTGAGGCGTGGATTTATTAAAGAATATTTTTCAAGGGCCAACTGAGGCGTGGATTTATTAAAGAATATTTTTCAAGGGCCAACTGAGGCGTGGATTTATTAAAGAATATTTTTCAAGGGCCAACTGAGGCGTGGATTTATTAAAGAATATTTTTCAAGGGCCAACTGAGGCGTGGATTTATTAAAGAATATTTTTCAAGGGCCAACTGAGGCGTGGATTTATTAAAGAATATTTTTCAAGGGCCAACTGAGGCGTGGATTTATTAAAGAATATTTTTCAAGGGCCAACTGAGGCGTGGATTTATTAAAGAATATTTTTCAAGGGCCAACTGAGGCGTGGATTTATTAAAGAATATTTTTCAAGGGCCAACTGAGGCGTGGATTTATTAAAGAATATTTTTCAAGGGCCAACTGAGGCGTGGATTTATTAAAGAATATTTTTCAAGGGCCAACTGAGGCGTGGATTTATTAAAGAATATTTTTTTAAAGAATATTTTTCAAGGGCCAACTGAGGCGTGGATTTATTAAAGAATATTTTTCAAGGGCCAACTGAGGCGTGGATTTATTAAAGAATATTTTTCAGGGGCCAACTGAGGCGTGGATTTATTAAAGAATATTTTTCATTGTTTCGCCCGATTTCATGTAAATGGTGAACCAAAGTCGCTATAAATCGTTCGATTTGCACGAAATTTGGAATAACGTACTGACTGAGCCTAGAGTGATGTCTGCCAAGTTTCGTGAAAATCGGTCTAGATTTAGAAATAGCTCCCATATGTATTTTCGTCAGATTTAAGGTAAATAAGCACCAACGTCCATATATATCCTTCGATTTGCACGAAATTTGGCATAGCGTATTGAATTAAGTCGGGAACGATGTGTGTTAAATTTCGTGAAAATCGGTTCATATTTATATATAGCTCCCAAATATAGTTTCGTCGGATTTCATGTAAATGGTGTACTAAAGTCCCTATATATCTTTCAATTTGCACGAAATTTGGGATAGGGTACTGAATTAGGTCTAGAGTGATGTCTGCCAAGTTTCGTGAAAATCGGTCCAGATTTATGGTGTACCAAAGTCGCTATAAATCTTTCGATTTGCACGAAATTTGGAATAACGTACTGATCTGAGTCTAGAGTGATGTCTGCTAAGTTTCGTGAAAATTGGGCCAGATTTAGATATAGCTGTCATATATATTTTCGTCCGATTTAAGGTAAATAGTGCACCAAAGTCCCTATATATCCTTCGATTTGCACGAAATTTGGCATAGCGTCTAGAACGATGTGTGTTAAATTTCGTGAAAATCGGTTCATATTTAAATATAGCCCCCATATATAGTTTCTTCCGAGTTCATGTAATTAGTGCACCAAAGTTCCTATATATATTTCCATCTGCACGAAATTTTGTATAGTGTACTGAATTAATCTAGAATGATATATGTTAAGTTTCGTGAAAATCGGTTCAGATTTAAATATAGCTCCCATATATAGTTTCGTCCGATTTCATGTAAATGGTACACCAAAGTCCGTATATATCTTTCGATTTACGTACTTTGTCCCATTGTAACAAACGAATGACATGTTTATGGATAGATCTAAGTCGTTTCACATTTAGATAAATATCACATATTTTATTTTATACAATTTCATGATGATATTCCTGTTTAATATACCCATAGTGGTGAAGGGTATCATATAGTCGGCCCCGTCCGACTTTACTACTTTCCTTACTGGTTTAAAAGAATATATTTCAGAATTTTTTCAGGCTTCAGGCAATTAAAATATATTTTTCTTATGTTTTCCTATTCCCATTTTAGTACCTAAACACAGGAGATTCCATACAAACTCTGTATTCATGGTCCGCCTTTAATACAGATGAAATTGGTAACATTTTGGCAGAGAGTTTGCAACGCTTGACCCAATGCATTCCCGTGGAGAATATACATTTAATAGGTCACAGTTTGGGTGCACAAATTGTTGGCAAAGCTGGACGACAATATAAGGAATTAACGGGACAATCGCTGCCACGTATAACTGGCTTAGACCCGGCCAATCCATGTTTCAATGAAGGTGAACAGTTATCGGGTATATCACGTGGTGATGCAACATTTGTTGATATCATACATTCAAATCCGGGTGTTTTGGGTAAATCTCAGTCGTTGGGAGATGTTGATTTCTATCCAAATGGCAAGCAAGCCATACAACCGGGATGTGTTAATTTTGGCTGTTCCCATGAACGTTCCATGCGTTATTTCATTGAAACTGTGTATCCCGTCAATGAGCAGAACTTTGTGGCAAAACGTTGTAACTCACTGGATGGTATTGATAATGGACGATGTAATGGTCCGGAACATGTTATGGGCTATGCTGTACCACATGATATTGAGGGAAATTATTATTTGAATGTAAACGGCGATCAGCCGTATGGTCAAAATGCACCAGCTGAGGCAATTGTTCAACCAAATCAATGTGGTAAATGTGACAATATTGAATTCCCAGATGATGTCAATTAATAAGGAAATATAAAATTAAAAAAAAAAATAAAAATGCATATATTGTTACATAAATAAAATTTAATGATATTTTATATTTCAAAAATTGAAGAAAATTCACAAGATACACACGGCAATGGGCGGGAACTCTATTGAGTGCTGATGTTGCTGTAATGTGGTCAAATTTTTAATATAATATTTCTATTGTTATTTAGACATTTGTCAGAATTCTGTAGTAATATTGTAGTTAAAGCTTATAAATTTATCTAATATTATTTTCAAATATGATACGATTTCCACTTAACCACATCGTTCCAGTGACCCACTTTTTCCCCACCAAATAAATGTTTATAAGGCTACTAACCTTGAATTCAAAACATTATTTTGAATTCTATAATTTTAAAATCAAGTTGTTTTTGTTGTTATTAGCAAACTTTCATTTATCCATGTACAAATATGCTGAGCAAGTGTGTACTTTGCATGTTTATTTTTGTCTCCCGTACAGCAGAACCTTTCCATAGACTTCTGCAAATATTGAAAATCAAATAATATCTCAGTATTATTTCGTATCGTTATTATTTACTTAGAGTTTTTGCTATATATAAAAGAAATTTTAGTTTCTAGTTGAATTATTATTAGTTTTGCAACAATGAAGCTCAACGGCGCGAGCAAATTATTTGTAACAATTCTGTTACTCAGTGTCGTGATTCAAAGTAGTTCGGGTTTTTCGTTAATGGGTTTGGATTTGTTCAATTCGGCTGTTAATATAATTTCGGGAGTTGGTACAGAACTGTTGCAAAATTTTCCAACAGTTTCACAATTATTTTCAGCGTCGAAACAAATTTTATTCGGTTTACCGGAAACGATGTTATTTAAAGTTCTAAATCAATTGTGTAAGTAAAGTCGTGTAAGGAAAGATGAAAAGTCGGGCGGAGCCGACTATATGATACCCTTCACCACTTTGGGTACATTCAGGTATGGTAATGTGTACAATACCCTCTTGATAGAAAAGACATAGCATCTTTGGAAGACCATTGGAAATGGAATTATGATCTACATAGATAATGGAATTAATAAAAAACCTTACACATATCGACGCCTCCGAACCATATTATGCTAAGTCTGAAAAGTGAGTTTTTCAGTAGAAGCTCTCAAAGTATGGAAATTTCATATATCTTACGGGCCATGCTAAGTACATTTTTGCTTATAACTTTGGTTTGGATTCGCCGATGATTACCAAAATTTCAGAGAATATTAATTAAGGACCGTAGTATCTAAAAACGTAAAGAACTTTAAAACATGTTAAGTCGACTTAGCATACTATGGTTCGGAGGCGTCGATATCATTCTGAAATCTATGAAAAATTGCATGTAAATCCGGAAGACTTGGATTTTTTGGTGTAACATTTGTATGAAATCCAGCAAAATTATGTATATGGAGCTATATGTAAATCTGAACCGATTTCAACAAAACTTCGCATACACAAATTAGGACCTAATTCAGTGCACCGTGCACAATTTTGTCTAAATCGGACAAATATTGGGAGATTGATGCACCATTTAAATAAAATCGGACGAAAATATATATGAGAGCTATATCCAAATCTGAACTGATTGCAATAAAATTTCGCATACATCAATTAGGACCTAATTCAGTACACCGTTTAAAATTGTGTCTCAATTAGACAAATATTGGGAGTTTTGTGCACCATTTACATAGAATCGGACGAAACTATATATCGGAGCAATATGTAAATCTAAACCGATCTCAAAAAATCTTCACAGATGTCAAACTGGACTGAATTCAGTACGCTGGCAAAATTTTTATTCAATCGTGCAAATTATGGGAGTTTGGGGCACCATATACCTAAAATCGGACAAAGTTATACTTTGGAGCTACATCTAAATCTGAACCGATTTCAACAAAACATAGGACATCAAACTGGACTTAATTAAGCACCCTGTGCAAGTTTTCGTCTCAATCCGACAGTTATTGGGAGTTTGGTGCACCATTTACTTAAAATCGGACGAAACTATATATGGGAGCTATATGTAAACCTGGAACGATATCAACAAATCTCCACAGATGTCAAACTGGACCTAATTCAGCAGCGTGTTCAAAATTTTGTCTGAATCGGACAAGTATTGGCAGTTTGGTGCATCGTTTACATAGAATCGGACGCATATATATATATATATATATATATGGGAGCTATATCTTAATCTGAACTGATTTTTTCCAATTTCAATAGTGTCCTTAGGCCAAATAAGTGACTTGTGCCAAATTTCATCCAAATCGGATCATAAATGCCACCTGTACTTTGTTTGCAATTTAATATCAACAGACGGACGGACATGCATAAATCGACTCAGAAAGTGATTCTATGCATATTCTCATATGGAACCATGAATCTACCTCGTGTCCTTATTCATGTTACAAACATGTGGTGAAGGGTATAAAAATTACTTCCTTCGCAGACCTACTTGGGTGATTGCTGTATACTCGTATATCTCAATTGGTGTGGGATATCACATGATCGGACCCGTCTGACTTCTGTCCCGTCCATTCCTTACTGGTTTATTATTAAGTCTAAAAATCTATTTTATTTTCGAAATTTTATATTTACAGGTTCACTCTATGTAGGTTCCGATAATATAGATCCCCGGATAACACCTAAACTAAATGAGATGTATCTACAACTGAGAACACCCTGTTCCAATCGAAGTGTACCATTAAGTGAAGCTCAAAAATTACTCGAATATCCAGAATTTAATGCTACAAAGAGGGTTGTGGTTTTTATTACTGGATGGATGTCTAGTATACAGGCCGATTATATTGAAGATATGGCCAGGGCATTTCATTGCAGAGGAAATTATAATTTTTTGGTGAGTATAAAATTTGTCAAATTCAATAAAACTAATAAAATTTTTAATTCCCTTCAAGGCTCTAAATGCTTCAAATTTCGTCCAAACTTTATACACATGGTCCGCCTTCAATACCGATGCTGTGGGTGCATTTGTGGGTAAGGGTATTGCTAAGTTGAGTAAAAAAATACCAGCCAAAAAAATACATCTGATTGGCCACAGCTTGGGTGCACATATTGCCGGCAAGGCGGGACGTCATTTTCAAAAACTCACCGGACAAACTTTGGCTCGCATAACCGGTTTAGATCCAGCTAATCCTTGCTTCAATGAAGGTGAAACCCTTTCCGGTTTACATCGTGGTGATGCGGTCTTCGTTGATGTTATACATTCCAATCCGGGTGTGTTGGGTAAATCACAACCATTGGGTGATGTTGATTTCTATCCCGGTGGTTTGGCACCTATCAAACCGGGTTGTGTCATTTTCAGTTGTTCACATAGTCGTGCTTATGAGTATTTTATTGAAACAGTTTTTCCCGGAAATGAAAGGAATTTTTTGGCGAAACGTTGTAATTCATTAACAAGTTATAATGCCGGACAATGTGGGGGTTTGGAATATCCAATGGGTATTGCAACGCCAACTTATTTAAAGGGTGATTACTTTTTAGCTGTAAATGCAAGAGAGCCCTTTGGAAAGAATGCTACACGATTGACAGTGAATGAGAAGCATAGCCAGTGTGGCCGTTGTAGTAAATAAGTGTTGTTGTAGATTATATATAATATTAGTTATAATATCAGATTATTAAATATAGCAATTAAAATAAAAAATGTTGAAAATTTATAAAGAAACGATAAGAAAAAATTTTTTATATTTCCCATTTTTAGACATAATTAAAATAGTGGGTTTATTTAATAAATATCACATGTAAAAAGAACGGGAGCGCTGTTTACGTCTCTGCAAGATAGAAAAATAAACAATTTAATCAGACGAAAAGTTATATGTGTGAACTATATCTACATCGGAACCGATTTTCACGAAACTTAGCACACATCAGTCTAGACTCAATTCAATACGATATGCCAAATCGTGCAAATTGGTGCACCATTTACGTATCTAAATCTGAACCGATTTCTAGGAAACTTTAGTGCTCAAGTTACACAAAACCGGACGAAAATATATATGGGAGCTATATCTAAATCTGAACGGATTTTGGGGACTGTAGACAGGTTTTCCAACCTAATTGACTGTAATTTAGTATTTTGGGTTCTCATTGTATAATACATATCCATACCAAAACCAGTAAAGTAGTAAAGTCGGACTGGGCAGACTATATGATACCCTTCACTACTTTGGGTATGTTGTACATATGAATCCTCACAATTGCAAATCGAAGTATATATAGGGACTTTGATACACCATTTACATAAAATCGGACGAAAATATATATGGGAGCTATATCTAAATCTGAACCGATTTTCCCGAAACTTAACACAGATCACTCTAGACTTTATTCAGTACGCTTTGCCATATTTCGTGCAAATCCAAGGATATACAGGGACTTTGGACCACTTACATAAAATCGTACGAAAATATATATGGGAGCTACATCTAAATTTTAACCGATTTTACCGAAACTTACCACTCATCATTTCAGACTTAATTCAGTACGCTATGCCAAATTTCATGCAAATCGAATGATATATAGGGTTATTGGTGCAACATTTACATAAAATCGGACGAATATATATACGGGAGCTATATTTGAATCAGGACCGATTTTAACGAAACTTTGCACAGATCATTCTAGACTCAATTCAGTACGCTATGCCAAATTTCGTGCACATCGAATGATATATAGGGACATTGATGCACCATTTACATAAAATCGGACAATAATATATATGGGAGCTATATCTTAATTTGGACCGATTTTCTTGGAACTTAGCACACATCGTTCTTGACATAATTCAGTACGCTGTGTCAAATTTCGTGCAAATCGAATGATATATAGGGACATTGGTGCACCATTTACTGATAATCGGACGAAACTATTTATGGGAGCTATATCCAAATCATTCTAGAATCAATTCATTACGCTATGCCAAATTTCGTACAAATCGGAAGATATATAGGGACTTTGGCATACCATTTACCTAAAATCGGGCGAACTATATATGGGAGGTATATCTAAATCTGAACCGATTTTCAGGAAATTTTGCACACATCATACTAGACTCAATCCATTACCTAAAATCCATTTACCTAAAATCGGGGGAAACAATGGGAGCTATATCTAAATCCGAACCTATTTTCACGAAACTTAGCACACGTCATTCTAGACTCAATCCAGTACGCAATGCCAAATTTCGTGCAAGTCGAAATATATATAGATACACCATTTACATTAAATCGGGGGAAACATATATGGGAGCTATATTTAAATCTGAACCGATTTTCTCCAATTTCAATTGGGCCTAATAAGTGAACTGTGTCAAATGGCATCCAAATCGGACCATAAATGCGACCTGTACTTTCTTAACAAAAGTACATGGACGGACGGACGGGCATGCGTAAATCGACTCAGAATGTGATTCTATGCATATTCTCAAAAGGAACCATGGGTCTATCTCAATTATTTTTGCCTGTTACAAACATATGCACAAAGACATAATATCCTGTACCACAGTGTGGCGAAGGGTATAAAAATAGGCGATTCTCCAGAAAATATCATACAACCAATGGAAATTTTATTTGCCGATTTCAGTATTCCAGCTTTATCGGTTCTTACTTACTTTACTTACTTGGCTGGCTTATGACAGAACGGTTGATTTCTGAGAATATATGGTAAAGTTCATGGTTCATTAGAGGGCGATATTCACCATCGACGTAAGATCTTCCGCAGAATTTTCTCCCAAACACTCCAAGAGCTGCCTCATCTGCTAGCGCAAGTACCCATGCTTCAGATCCATACAACAACACGGGTAATATCAGCGTCATGTAGAGTGTGAGTTTGGTCTGGCGAGAGGTGGCCTTGCTTTTGAGTTGCTTACTCAGACCATAGTAGCATCAGTTGGCCAACACTATTCTTCTCCGGATGATGTTATTAGCTTTGTTTATGGCGGTACCAAGGTATATAAAATCTTTGACTACCTCGAAGCTGTAGTTCTCAAGTTCCACAATTGGTCCAAGTCTACTAGACGTCTTGCGCTTTGCTACCATCAGCTTGGTCTTCTCCCCATTTACTATCCAGTCCCACTTTGGCAGACTCCTTCTCAGTTTGTTCAAAGGTGGCTGTTACCGCTCACAATGTTCGACCCATTATATTGATGTCGTCGACGTAGGCACATTTGCATCTCGTATGACATTTTCCAGCAGGATGTTAAACAGGTCACACGACAAACTGTCACTTTGTCTGAATGCTCGTTTGGTATTGAAGGGCTCCGAGAGGTCGTTTCCGACTTTAACTGCTGACATTGTACCAGTTAAAGTTATTCTGCATAGCCGTATTAATTTTGCAGGAATGCCGAAGGCGGATTGGGCTTTAAACCTCTGAACGGATAGGGCTGTCGAATGCGGATTTATAGTCGACGAATAGGTGAAATATGTCGATGTGTTTTTCGTGGGCTTTTCCCCTATCTTGCGCAGAGTGAAAATCTGGTCAATGGTGGAATTGCCTGGCCTGAAGCCGCACTGGTATGGTCCAATAATGTCATTGACCATTGGCTTCAGTCGTTCACACAGTACTTTATAGCACTCTATAGTTGGCTTATTCCTCTATAGCTTGATATATAGCGGCAACTTCTGTTGCTTTATTGTTCTTCAGCTGATTAATTGCTACTCTAACTTCATCTTGGCTAGAAGGTATACATTCTAATACCGTCATCTCTTTTTTGTTCTGTGGTATCTTCTTCTCCGCCACTATTTGATACCAGAAACTTTTCAAAATGATCCTTCCAGATCATCAACACGCTATCTGTATCTGTCACCAGGTTTCCATCTTCATCTCCACAGGAGAATGTGCCTGCGCCAAAGCCTTCGGTTTGATGTTTTACTCGTTGATAAAATTTCCGGACTTCATTCGGACTCCTGTACATCTCGATTTGTTCACGCTCACGCTTCTTTTGTTCTTTCTATCGGTTCAGCCAAAAATTTAAATTGTACCAAATTTAATACTCATTAGCCCAATCCTACACCACAAGAGTAATTCTAATTTAAAATTTCAAGATTCCAGTTCGATCGGTTCACACAAAATTCATATTGTAACAAATTCCTACACCAATCCTACACTCCAACCGTAAAATTATTTTCAAATTTCGTTGTGTAAATCGGCCTAGCTATGGATCTTTTCACGAAGCTTAGCAACATCATTCTAGACTTAATTCAGTACCCTATACCAAAATTAGTGCAGATCGAAAGATATATAGGGACTTTGGTGCACTAATTCCATAAAATCGGACGAAAATATATATGGGAGCTATATCTAAATCTGAAACAATTTTCACGAAACTTAGCACACGTCATTCTAGCCTTAATTCAGTAGGCTATGACAAATTTCGTGCAAATCGAATGATTTTCAGAGATTTTGGTGCACAAATTACCTAAAATCGGATGAAAATATATATGGGAGCTATATCTAAATCTGAACCGATTCTCACGAAACTTTGCACACATTATTATAGACGCAATTCAGTACGCTATGTCAAATTTCGTGCAAATCGAAACATATATAGGTACTTTGGTGCACCATTTACCTTAAATCGGACGAAAATATATATGGGAGCTATATCTAACTTTGAACCGATTTTCACGAAACTTAACACACATCATTCTAGATTTAATTAATTACGCTGTGCCAAGTTTCGTGCAGATCGAAAGATATTTAGGGACTTTGGCGCACCATTTACCTTAAATCGGACGAAAATATATATGGGAGCTATATCTAAATCTGGACCGATTTCCAGGAAACTTGACACACATCATTCTAGGCATAATGCATTACGCTATGCCAAATTTCGTGCAAATCGAGCGATATATAGGGACATTGGTACACCATTTACATTAAATCGGACGAAAAGACATATGGGAGCTATATCTAAATCTGGACCGATTTCAATAGGGTTCGTCCTTGGGCCAAATAATTGACCTATGCCAAATTGTGATTCTATGCATATTCTAAAAAGGAACCATGTGTCTATGTCGTTTCCTTTTGCCTGTTACAAACAAATGCACAAAGACATAATACCCTGTACCACAGTGTGGTGAAGGGTATAACAACCGCACCACGCAAAAATCATTACCAGCATTAAATAAAAACGCAAAATATAATATTTTATATATTTTTATTTTCGCTATTATTTATATACGTTTATTCGATTCAATAAATTGTATGTATATATACGATTGCTTATATTTATTACTTCTTTATTTTCAGTACACTTGTTCACAGATTGACAGTATAATTTGAATATTTTTTTTTACAAAAACTATATAAACGAATATTTTTTTGTAAAACATTTCATTTGTAATGCCATCAATATATGAAAACTGTTTGAAAACAAAACTTAGATTTAAACTAGATAAGGAATTTAAGTTACATTTTAGTTGTTATTGTTCTTTGTGTTAACTTACAATATAAATAAATTAAAAATTTAACTTAATAATATATATCTAGATGCTAAATATATAAATAAAACAAAGACAAGCGGAAGAGAGAAATAAAAAAGTAAAATAATAGATTTGGATTTTTAATTTTTTTGTTGTTGGTTGTTTTTTTTTATAGTATAATGTTAATAAATAAAAGAAGACAATTTGTTTTTATTAAATACTGGTTTTTTATACAAATATTAAAATATTTATAACGATTTTTAGGGATAGCGGGGAAAAGTTTTTCACACACACAAAAAAAAATTAAATTGTGGATAATATACACAAAAATATATTTGGAATAGGGGTTTCCAATTAAAAACAAACTATGTAAAATGTTTCGGGCCAATGTCAAGGCAGACAAAAATCGTTCAGTAAATTTTCTCAGAGTTATGGATAATCATACATCATATTAGAAGATTTTCCACACTTCATTATATATAGTAATTTTCGCACAATTATCCAGATTTGTGATAATTTTTGAAAACGTATTCTACAACATTTTCCTACCTTGTGACAAAATCATTGACCAAAACAAAATTTTACAAAAACAAAAAATATACATTATTTAAAAAAATGTATTTGAAACACTTGGGGGTTCCACTATAAATTATGGGTATTGATTTTTTTTTCTTTATGCAGAAAGGAGAGGTAGCGGATTATAATTATTATTGTTTTTTTTTTCATATAAATCCGTATAAAAAACAAAATCACAAATTTTCAAAACAATTTGGCATAACTGATAATTAATTTATCAGTGACCAACAAAATAACCGATTGTTTATCACATTTAACAAACAATAGCGGGGAGGGGCGGAGTAGTTTTCGATTTTTTAAATAAAATCATTTATTGTGTTTAAATAGTTAAGGTGAGCGGGATCTACCAAACTCGAATATGTTTTTTTTTCTGTTTGCATTTTTAATCCAACGTAATATGAGGATTTGTATATGTAAAACCTAGGAACTGTTTCTGATCCATGGATTGTAGTATATCCTTATCGATAGGCGTCAAACGTACACGTTCTCTTGTGAATACACGATCGAAATATTGTGTATCGAGAGGGTGTTTCTGCAATGGTAATGAAAATAGACAATAAATATAAAATTAGCATTCTTTTTGATTCTAATTCATTTTTAAATAAAATCACTTACCACTTGCGGTCTAAATGGTGGCTCTATTAGTCGTTTCTCCAATAGATTCCAGTCGATGGGTCTGAAGAATATGTGCTCAACAACATCTCCAGCTGGACTGTATTGATTGCCAATACGTTTTGTGTGATCTTTTTCTAAAAGCTGCAATTAAATAAAAGTATAGATTAATTAAAAACTAAAAATTAAAGTATATTTAAATGCTATTAAAAATATACCCTATGATATGGCCATTTGTGGTAATATTAGTTTGGGGAAAAATAAATCCATTAACTTTTGGGCAGATGGCTGGATTTCTCGAAAAGTATCGATCAAACAATTTCAAATTTATACTCGTTGGAAGGGTAACATTTCGCAGTAAATAAATTATTTTATTGTTTTTATTCTTCACCACACTGTGGTACAGGGTATTATGTCTTTGTGCATATGTTTGTAACGGGCAAAAATAATCGATATAGACACATTGTTCCTTTTGAGAATATGCATAGAACCACTTTCTGAGTCGATTTATGCATGTCCGCCTGTCCATGTTAAATTGTAAACAAAGTACATGTCGCATTTATGATCCGATTTGGATGAAATTTGGCACAACACATTTGTTTGGACCAAGGACGAACCCTATTGAATTTGGGACAAATCAGTTCCGATTTAGATATAGCTCCCATATATATCTTTCGATTTGCACGTAATTTGGCACAGCGCAATGAATTAGGTCTAGAATGATGTGTGCAAAGTTTCGTGAAAATCGGCTCAGATTTAAATATAGCTCCCATATATATTTTCGTCCGATTTAATGGTCCACCAAAGTCCCTATATATCTTTCGATTTCGATTTCGATAGGGACTTTTTCCCTATATATCTTTCGATTTGCACCTAATTTGGCACAGCGCAATGAATTAGGTCTAGAATGATGTGTGCAAAGTTTCGTGAAAATCGGCTCAGATTTAAATATAGCTCCCATATATATTTTCGTCCGATTTAATGGTCCACCAAAGTCCCTATATATCTTTCGATTTGCACGAAATTTGGCACAGCATAATAAACTAGGTATAGAATGATGTGTGATAAGTTTTCTGGAAATCGGTTCAGATTTAGATATGGATCCCATATATATTTTCGTCCGATTTAATGTAACTGGTGCACCAAAGTCCCTACATATCTTTCGATTTGCACGAAATTTGGCATGGTTCGGTTCAGATTTAGATATAGCTGCTATCTCTGACCAAATAAAAAATTAGTATCGGTTGCAGAATGAAATGTCTATGGATTCAATTTCATTCCTTTAAAAATGCGACGTCTGTTAGGATTCATCTGTTGAATATACCCAAAGTGGTGAAGAGTATCATATAGTCGGCCCCTTCCGACTTTACTACTTTCCTTACTGGTTTTTGCTTTTAACATTCCGTTGTGAGTTACCGGGTGTCTACAATGGAAGTGAACAAACAGAAAATTCGGTACATTTTACAGTTTTTCTTTGACAAAGGCGAAAATGCAAGCCAAGCTGCTAAAATTGTGAATGGTGGTTAGGTTCCGATACTGTAACAGCCAATTATGTGCAATTTTGGTTTCCGTTCAGGAATTTTTGATGTTAAAGATGGACCTCGCACAAGTAGGCCTGTCGTCGAAAATGTCGATAAAATCGAAGAAATGATCGAAGTTGACCGGAAAGGGCTAGAATTGGCCAACACGAGAGGTGTCGTGTTCCACCAGGACAAATCTATGACACACACATATAAAGTGACCCGCTAGAAACTTCAGGAGCTTGGTTGGCACCTGCGATTATCATATTTTTCTTGCATTGCAAACTGTGTTTAATGATTATGAAGATACCTTTAAAATGTCATCAAACATTCCGTTTGTAACCCATGATTTCCGATCCTTTAAAGTATATATTTTCTTGATCAGCGTAAAATTCTATGACGTCTGTCCGACCGTTGTAATCACTCTAGCCTCTAAAACGAATTTAGTTAGATCACCAAAATGTTGTCTTTATGCAACTCTATGATGGGCTATATCGGTCCACGTTTAGGCATAGCTCCCATATAAGGGTACCTCACAATTTTCGGTATTTTGGGGTTCTTGAGCGCGTTTTCAACCGAATTCGATTCGAAAATAATCACATCCGACCCTATAATGTATATTTATTCTTAATCAGCCTAAAATTCTGTGACGATCTAAGCATGTCCCTATTTTGGGGGTTCTTGAGCGAGTTTTTCAGCCGAATTCGCTGAAATTTGGTACATTGGGTTCTTATTGGGTACCAAATTTCTCCACTAAAAGTTATACATATAGGTCCACTATTCCCGTAGCCGTGTACTCGAAATTGTAAGTTTATACCCTACAAAGTATGCATTTCGATGATGTTGCCATTTATTCTCAGGTTCAAGAATGAACTATATGGGCTCGCATTTAGGCCTAACCTCCACATTATGATACCTACCGATTTTCGATATTTTTGATATTTAACGTGAATGAATGTAAGGTTCGAAATTAAGCTCAATTAGGCATAACACCTCAGACAATGATAATGTTCGTTAATTTCTACACGATGTAATTAATATTGATCCCGCTTTAGGTATAGTTTCCAGGGACGTACACATGCAGTAAGGAAAGTCGTATAGTCGGACGGGGCCGACTATTTGAGACCCTTCACCACTTTGAGTATATTAAACAGATGCATTCTAACAGACGTCGCATTTTCGAAAGACCTTTGGCATGAAACATGGATGAACTAAAATATGTGATCGATATCTAAATGTGAACCGACTTAGATCAATCCATAAACATGTCATTCTGTAACCTATACTAAACTGTTAATTTGGATAGAAAGAGAACGAGGAAAAATTATATAAACCGATTTAAAGTTTTGAGCATATCGGCCATATTTTGGGTCCGTGGTGCATCATTTGTTTAAAATCGGAGAAAAATATATGTAGGAGCTATATCCAAATCTGGTGCACCATTTATTTAAAATCGGGCAAAATTATATATGGGAGCTATATTTAAATCTGAAATGATTGCAACGAAACTTGTCAAACATTAGGTTATACTAATTTCAGTACGTTCTGTGCCTATCGGTCATATTTTGGGTCCTTGGTGCATCACTTACTTAAAATCGTAGAAAAAAATATATAGGATCTATATTCTAATCTGAATCAATTTTCACGAAATTTAACACATCAATTCGGAGCGTTATGGTCTTATAATAACAGGCTTTTTTGCCTGCTATTAAAGAATACGACTAGGAGAATATGTGTCTTCAACAAGACGGAGAGGTTATGGCTTTATTGCAAGAGACATTTCCCAGCCGCGAAATGTTTCGTCGTTGCGATATCAACTAGTCACCAAGACTCGAAATAATGTGTTTATGCGGAAAAACCTTCAGCTTCAACATTCATCGACTAAAATACCGCCCGATATGTCTCAAAATTTGGTTCAAAATTACCGCAAGAGAATTAATGATAGAATGGAGGTCATTTAAATGTTGTAGAACATAATGTCAATGTTTATATTTTACAATAAATAATATTTACAGTGAATTCTCAATAATGTGATCATCCAAAACAGTGAAATCTGGATATTATGAACCAATTAATTTGTTCACATTTTCGATTCGACCAGCTTATTTATCGCTAATTCCTTGATTTATTTATTACTTTGATGCAAGTTTGAGTGTTGACATTATCGAGAGTTCACTGTATCATGAAAAATTATTTAAATTACGAAATGGCTAACCATGTATTAGGCTTAGGTTTCAATAATTAAGATTTAGTAACTTACCCCTTTCAGTATGCTTGTAGCTTCCGCTGATATATAAACTGGGAACCATGGAATTTCATTGCATATTGACCAAAATAGTTCATCTTCATCACAACCGCTGAATGGTGATTGTCCAATTAACATTTCATATAATAAAACGCCAAAGGACCACCAATCGACATTTTGATTATAACTTTCGCCCTGAAATACACAAAATTTAAAGAAGGTCAATAACTAATGCAAATCAGAGGCGTAGCCATAACATTAGCTTGGGAGTTGGCTGCTTTACCATTTACAAACAAAACCAGTAAGGAAAGTAGTAAAGTCGGACGGGGCCGACTATATGATACCCTTCACCACTATGAGTATATTAAACATAAAATATGTGATATTTATCTAAATGTGAATCGACTTAGATCTATCCATAAACTTGTCATTCGTTTGTTACAATGGGACAAAAGTAAGTAAATCGACATCAAACAAATATAAATAGGTAATCCGTTGGGCTATGTCTATACATCTAGAAAACGCAACTACGTAATTCTATACTTAATTTTGTACGTTGTGCAAAATTTGATGTCAATCTGACTAACATGAGGAGTTTGATGCCCAATTAACTTGAAATCGGGCGAAAATATATATATGGAAGCTCTATCCAAATATTAAGCGATTTCAAACTTGTCACAGGTTAAGTTATACTAATTTCAGAACGGTTTATTCCTATTGGTTCCTTGGTGCATCAATTACTTAAAATCAATCTATAATAAAAGAGAGCTGTATCTAAATCTGGACCGATTTTCACGAAACAAGGCAGATATCACTCTAGGCTCAATTCAGTACGTTATGCCAAATTTCGTGCAAATCGAATGATATTTAGCGACTTTGGTGCACCATTTACATGAAATCGGACGAAACTATATATGGGAGCTATATATAAATCAGGACCGATTTTCATGAAACTTGGCAGACATCATTCCAGACCTAAATGATTAGGCTGTACCAAATTTCGTGCAAAATAGAAAATATATAGGGACTTTGAGGCACCATTTACATGAAATCGGACGAAACAATATATTTGGGAGCTATATCTAAATCAGGGCCGATTTTCATGAAACTTGGCAGACATCATTCTAGGTTCAATTAAGTACGTTATGCCAAATTTCGTGCAAATCGAAGGATATATAGGGACTTTGGTGCACCATTTACACGAAATCGGACGAAACTATATATGGGAGCTATATCTAAATCTGGACCTGTTTACTCGAAACTGGGCAGACATCATTCTAGGCCCAGTTCAGTACGTTACGCCAAATTTCGTGCAAATCGAAAGATATATAGGGACTTTGGGGCACCATTTACATGAAATCGGACGAAACTATATATGGTAGCTATATCTAAATCTGGACCGATTTTCTCGAAAACAAATTTCGTGCAAATCAGAAGATATATAAGGACTTATATAGGGATGGACGGACATGCATAAATCGACTTAGAAAGTGATTCTATACATATTCTCAAAAGGAACCATGTGTCTATCTCGTTTCCTTTTGCCTTTTACAAACATATGCACAAAGACATAATACCCTGTACCACAGTGTGGTGATGGGTATAAATATATGTATATATTTATGGGTAATTACATTTCCACTCCATTGGTTCTTGTTTATAACCTACCTTAATTATTTCAGGCGCCATATAATCCGGTGTACCACAGAAACTATCAGCTGTTTTATCCAAATAGATTTGTAATTTACACATACCAAAATCGGCAATTCGTACATGTCCTTCGTAATCCAGCAAAACATTATCCAATTTGAGATCTCTGTTCAGATAAAGGGGAGAAAGAGAGAGAATTATAAGACTACAAATACATTTTATTTATTTTGAAATTACCTGTATATAATGCCCTTTTTATGCAAAAATTTCAGACCCGATATAATTTCAGCACCATAAAAACGTGCACGTTCCTCTGTGAAACGTCCACTTTCCTGTATGTGAAACATTAGATCACCACCATTCAAGTATTCCATTACAAAGAATAGATGGCTCTGAAAAAAGTGAAAAACAAAACCGTTAAACAGACAATAATTGAAGAAGTATGACACCATATCTTCATAAAATTGTCAATAGTCAAAGATATATTAAATTCCATACCATCCTACGAAGAGTACTATAATTATAAATTATTTTTTTATTTGAAAAAAAAAATTGCTCTAGAAACATTGTCACCCATTATTTGCTTGAAGATTCTCGATACAGCGTATTCAACGCCAAATATATAAGTTAATGATTCGCCACAAATTATGTCCACCATTATCCCAATATATCATCATGAATCATTCATTACTAATTTTCTGCTTACTAGATACGATATTTTTAAACAAATTCTTAAATGTTTTCCCAATCTCTGCCCATGCATGAATGTCATGACATTTGTGTTATTGATTTGTACTCTACTCTATTTTAGTATTTCGTTTCCCGTACAGTAAAAATAAAAAAAGAAATTATTGTACTTTGGTCTTTCCAAGGATCCATCTTGATAGATAGATGTACCTGTGCACTTGACTTAATTTTCACCTACAATGTCATAAACAATTAAAATGTTCTGTCGTTCTGTTTTTTGTCGTTGTGCCACTATGGCATTTAATGCGTAAGAAAATATATGTGTCAATGCGAATACGCTTCGATTGTCTTCGAAATGTGAATGAAAATTTCTGTAAGCGAAAAAAAAAACAAAACGAATACGAGAAAGTGAGACGCTATTGACGGCATCTTTGGTGCGTGAACATGTTTACGATAGGATGAAGAGGAAGTCGAAGAAAATGAATGAAAATCTGTTTTCGTAATTGTCAATTAATTGCATCTGCTCACTCTATGCAATCTCTTTTAAAGAGACAATTAAAATTATATTATACTATTTTCTATTAGTCAGTAACATTTTTAGGAACACAATTATTTGAAATGGGTATTAGTTTTGTGAAAAACGATAAGAAAAACCATTCACCCATTAGATAGAATGCAATTCGATGAAGACCGCTTTCTGCAAGCTGTTCTTTGTAGTTTGTCAGCGCTTCCCAGGACAAGTTAAATAATACGGTTCAGAGATAATGTTTTTGTATTAAACCATATTTAACCAGTGAGCGGAGCAGTATAGTCGGACGGGGCCGACCATACGATACCCTACACAACTATCACGTTAATCTAGCTTTCTGCGGATTTTTATTTCGACCCTCGGCAATATTTCTTGATATTTGCAGCCTCTTGTCCGATTAGAGTTCAACAGCACCTCTTGCTTACAATGACATATTTTCCGAATATTACTAATATTCAGTACAGCCGCCCCTCTAATTACTTGTCCAGATTCCCTTCACCGTGGGTGGTGTTGTGATGTTCGGTTTATAATTGTGGCCTATAGATCGTCTCGAAAAAAAAAACAATCAAAAAAGTTTTCGGTCCACTTCATCCCGAATTGGTATCTGATCATCACCGAAAATTATAAGCGTTGTCCTTGACCATAACTAAAACCTCATGCAAAATTTCAAAGCCATCAGTCGTCTAGTGTGGTGATGGGTTACTAAATAATATCTGAATGCATAAGCACCTGTAAATATTTACGTGTAACTCCCACATCCGTGTACATACCACAGTAAAATTGGTATCAATTTAAAGGTCAACCGCTCCTCTTGGAAATACTATCAACTTCTCGACTCTATGTCCTCCAGGAGATAATATATACGCCATAGAATACAAATTTTGTAATTTTTCACACAAAAGTCAGGGTCCATTTGACCCGCTAAATATTGACCGATCTTTATCAAAACAGGTATGCTTATTCTTTGGCCCAATCCCCTTCTCCATGTAAAAATTCGAGATGTTTGGGCCATAATTGCGGCCTCTGGAGCGACCAGAAAAACCGACAAAAATTAAATATTTGGTCCATTTCATCCCCTAAATATTATCCGATATTTACCAAAAACAATAGGGGTCTTCATTAGGCCGAACCCATCCTACATGCAAAATTTCGTGAAGATTGGTCCATAACTGTGGCCTGTATCGTGTTTACAAAATATAATGGACAGACGGACGGACGGACACACATGTCTAGATCGACTCAGCTAGTCGAGATATGACGATTGGTATACTTAAAGGTGGGTCTAGGACCAATATTTCGCGGCGTTACAAACTCTTGGGGCTGCACAAAGCTATAATACCCTGACAACATAGTTGTGTAGGGTATAATAATGTAGAAGCATATGTGAATCAAAACGATTACAATTGCTTTAATTTGAACTTTTTGAATGTAATCTTCAACTTTTCAGAGGAACTGCACATAGTATGGAGGGTATATTAAGATTGTTTTTCAAGTTTATAACTCATCGCAATAATTATTTCCGACCCTTTAAGGTATATATATTCTTGATCACCGTACATGTGTGTCTGTCTGTCTCTTGTTATCACTCCAGCCTATTTTGGTGGTTTTCAGCCGATTTCCGACCTAATTCGGTGTACTAAAACATATAAACATCGAACTACTTTTTTGGGTAGTCCCCATATAATGGTCAATATTTTGGGGACGTTTTTCAACCGAAATGGTTTCTAATTTGGTATTTGAAATTCCCATATGCTATAAATAATTATCAATATTGGTGAAATTTTTGGGGTATACCCAAAATACGCAGATCTTGAAGATTTTGAATAAGTGTTTAACAGAATAGGCTATATTTTGGTATAATAGGTTCTAATTGGATACCAAATCTTCCTGCCAAAATTATGAATATTGGAGCAATTTTTTGAATTGCCCACAAATAAAGACACCCCCAAAAATGTGGATAATTTTGAAGTCTTTATACCCTTCACCACACTGTGGTACAGGTATTATGTCTTTGTGCATATGTTTGTAACAGGCAAAAATAATCGAGATAGACCCATGGTTCCTTTTGAGAATATGCATAGAATCACTTTCTGAGCCGATTTATGCCGTCCGTCCGTCTGTCCATGTTAAATTGTAAACAAAGTACAGGTCGCATTTATGATCCGAGTTAGACGAAATTTGGCACAGCTCATTTGTTTGGCCCAAGGACGAACCCTATTGAAATTGGGAAAAATCGGTTGAGATTTAGATATAGCTCCCATCAGGGACGTACGCCTGGCTTCAGAAAAAATACAACTCTATTCAAAATTTTGTCGATCTATTTCAATTCGTGTATAGCCTAGAGTGATTACAACAGACATACAGATGGACATGATTAAACCGTCATAGAATTTTACGCTGATCATGAACATATAAATTTATAGGGTCGATGAGTTATAAACATGTACAAATGTACCCCGTTATTGATCGTAGCGGTTAAGTCGGTTCACATATAGATACAGATCACATATTTAATTTAGTCCAATTTCATGTGAATGGTCCTTAAAAAAAAAAAAAAAAAAAAAAAAAAAAATCCGAGGTTTGTTAGGTGAAGGGTATCATATAGTCATCCGACTTTACTACTTTGCTTATTGGACTTATTCCAGTTTATACAATATCTATGTAGGTCCAGAATAACGTGTTAAAATTTGGAACCGATTTGATTAATAGTTTTTGAGTAATGTCACATAAAAACACTCATTAAAGAATAATGTTAGAAGAAGCCTTCTTTGAATTTGATTGTCCTAAACGACTAGGAATTCTGTTTTGAAGTTATCCCCCTCATCCCCTTACGAAAGGTGTAATTTCCTACGACTTTTGTTCGGAAGCTTTAAAAGGCTGGGTAGTGGCACAGGAAATGCTCTAACGTTTTTTCCGCTGTCATCTCCACATGCTCTACACCAGTTGTTTCCCTCGCATCCAATCTTCTGTAAGTGGGACGGCAGGCTGTTATGTCTTATGAAAATACCGATCAAAGTACTTATATCGGTATCCGTACGAGACGGAAATTTATTTATAGTTTTTATACATTTTAAAACAGTTTTGGATATAACTGTTTTAGAGGTTATTGTTTTTATAGCTTGTTTGCTATCCAGGACAGAGTTTTCACTACACAAGAGTTTGCACAAAGCCAGTTCAGACACTCCGTTATATAATAGTTTGAACCTCCGCCTATAGGATCGTATTGTGATCTGGTAGACGAAGTGAAATTTCGGTTTTCGTTTCCCAGTTAGTAAATCGTTTGTATCGTGATAAATGCTGATAAATGCAACGTAATGCATGAACGGGGTGATTACCTATGACTCCAATAGACAATTTACAGGAGGGGATGAATATCCTATCTTTAACACATCACCACCACCCTGGCATGTAAGGAAGGAGCTTTATGATCTCGAGGGAGAGGTCTAGATGTAAAAAAAATAACCTTAAGATCAAGCAATTCGAAAACTCAAGGTGGATATAATCCTCGGAAAACACCCGCAGCGGCTGCCATTACAAGCCCTTTTGAAACTGGCGTTAGAAACAGAACAAGATTAAGCATAAAATACACATCAATAAGAGATACAACAACAGTCACTGCAATGTGTGAATCATAATGGTCGCCTCTAGAGCGGTCAGAAAAAATTACAAAAAAAAAAAATGTTTTGTCCTACTATAGGTGTCGTCTTTGCCCAGTACCCAATCTAAATGCAAAATTTCATGGCGATTGCGGCTTGCAATGGATAAACAAAAAAACATATATGTATATAGACATATTCAGCTAGTCGTGATATACGGATTGCTATACTACCAACATTTCGTCACGTTACAAAATTTTTCAAAACTCATAATACCCATACATAATATATAAAAAATTAGTTATTTAAAATCATTGGCTTAGCCCCTAAATCTTTCATTAGTTATATTTGGTGAAAGAGGGTCCAATCAGGTGCCTCATATATGTAAACATTGAATTAGAATTTTAACACAATTTCCGGTACGATATTATTAGAATTACATACATTATGGAAAAGATTTTAAAAAAGATGTGCGCCCTTAATTCTCCTACTCCTCACAAGCATGTAATGTCAATGTATATACAAAACCTAAAAAACAATTTAATTTCCTATCGAAGCACCTGCAATTAACCTAAATCATTAAAATACCATTAATTAATCACGCGTTATTTGGCTTTGGTTCCTCTCTGCTAATTTGTGGAAATACGCAGTTCAATTAAATTTAATTGGGATACTGAACCGGCTATGCCAAGAAGAGGAACCAACATGCGGATATCATCACGATGTATAAAAGTGTATAAAATACAGGGTCGTCGTGACTTATTAATAGCGTTTTTGTTGTTGTTGCGTTTTTTATTTTCATTTGCATGTAGCAAACACTAAAGGTTTTCACAATATACCGCCCCCATAGAGAGGCGTGCGCTATTCTATTTTTTGTTCTTCTTGTTCGGTTGCCTGTGACTTGTGATCTTTTGATAAGTACGCATAAAAATAACCAAAAAAAGTACAACAATTTTAATATAACAACAAAAAAACTAAAATAAAATACGAAATTTTATGTAAAAGATACAAGCGAACAAATCACTGATATTATCACTGTCTGTCCGACGTTTGCCTGACTGTCCGCACACACACATTTTTTTGTTTGCATCTAAATTTAAGTATGTTTAACTAAACATAATGATGAGATTTTAGCATAGCTGCTGGGTTACGCCATCACATTATGCTGTGCAAATCCCCCCATGGTGAAGACGACGATGGTGGCGGGGTATGACAAAACAAACATTTCGTTTTTGTTTGTAGGTGGAAATCGACATTTTTTGTACACAAATCATATGGCATAGCATGGTATGGCACGGACGATACGTGAGCGAGTAAATCAAGAATTTACTTGAAACATAAGCGTCTTTAATGGGTGCGTATGTGTGTGTGTGTGTGCTTTGGTGTCTAGGTATGCAGCCTATTCCCATTACGAATCTAGTTCAATTTGTTTGAAATGTACCCTGATCCATAAAATGGTCATTGGCACTTGAATGGCGGTAGCGCATTTTAGCCGCATCGCCCCCAGGTATGAGGGCGATTGGTTGTTATGAATTGGGGTCTACATCGCTGAAGAACAAATGAATGAGTCTTCATTTGTCGGCAGCGACAGTGTTTCTTGTGTGCAAACAAAAAATAGCTTCAATGATGGCCATTTTATTATAAAATTAGATTATTTTACCTTTATTTTTGGGGTCTTTCTGTTTTATGTGTTTTATTTGCTATATATACAAGATACAGACGCGTGTCTAACGTTCACGAATTATATGGAAAGGAACGGTATTAAAACAATTTTTTTTTATAATGTTTAATATATTTACATACGTATTTATGTTTTTTAATTAAGTAATTCAAAACAGAAACATGCCTCTCATTGATTTTATTGCTTACCAAACTATTAGTCCAGTTATAAATTCGCAGGTGATTTAGTCATGTATGATAAGAATTTTATATATGTATTAGGTTGGGGAAAAATAAATCCAATATTTGTTCGGCAGATGGCTGTACTGATAGATTTCACGTAAAATATCTATCAAACCATTTCAGATTTATGCTCGTTGGAAGGGTGAAATTTCGCTGTTTTTTGTTTGGTGCATTCAGTTGTGAAGTTACAGGGTGTTCAAAATGGAAGTGAACAAAGAGAAAAATCGTTACATTTTACAGTAACAACTAATTATGTGCAATTTTGGTTTCGTAGATTCCGTTCAGGAATTTTTGATGTTAAAGATGCGTTTCGCACAGGTAGGCCGGTTGTCGATAAAATCGGAGAAATGATCGAGAAATGCCTTTAAAATTGTAACAAAGTCCTATAAACATATAATGCATATAGTGCATATAAAAATAATGGGTTTCTTTCTCCCCAACCTAATGTTATTATTATTATTATTACTAAATGTTTGGATTATATCGATGGAATCGAAAACACTTCATTTAGGCGTTTGTATGTTTGTATGCACGATGTCTACTGCATTAGTATTCTGATTTAAATTTGTCATTTAGTTTGCAACACCCTGAAAAATTCACCAGATAAAGTATATATATTTCGGATCCGAATAAAATTCTATGTCGATATATGCATGTCCGTCTGTCTGTCCGCCTGTTGAAATCCCGATATGGATCGCAATTTGTCATTTAGTTTGCAACACCATGAAAAATTCACCACAGAAAGTATATATATTCTGGATCCGAATAAAATTCTATGTCTATATATGCATGTCCGTCTGTCTGTCCGCCTGTTGAAATCACGATATGGATCGCAATATTAAAAAAAACACTGAAATTTTGAACAGTCATTGCTAGTTCTCCTAGGATGTTTGGTATTGCAAATAAGATATAAAGGGTGAGATGAAAAAACTGCAACCACCTTCAGACTGCTGTAATTTCTAAGCCACTCGTCCGACTGCTGTTAACATTATTCCAGTTAAAGCTCATTATATTGTTTACAAGCGCACAAAAGCATTTTGGAGAGAATTTTCAAGAAAAAAAGTTATTTGTGATGGAATTCAAGCGTGATAGTGTGATTTCTTCATATTTGGCTGGAAAACCACAAGTGGCTTCGATTGGCCACCAAAACTCAAGCGCCGGCCATGGTCATGGTGTGTACCGCCATAGCAGCCGATGGTCGCTCTCCGCTCATATTTATCGACCTTGGCATCACAATAAATGCCGAATATCATGGCGAAAATATTCTGGGGGTGCATCAAAGCCTTGAGCACGCAAACATTTTGGCCGGAGACCTTGGACATTCCAATAGGACTCAGCACCATCGCACTCAGCACGCGCCACCCAAGAATGCTTACAAAATGAGGTTCCTCGCTTCATTTCCAGCGCACAATAGCCACCAAAAGCTCCGGATATTGTGTCTGGAGTATTTTTAAAAGCAAGTTTGGCAGTAAAAAATAGCAAAGTGTCGATCACCTCAAGCAAGCGCTTCGCCGGGAATTTGCCGGAAAATACCGCAGACCAACATTCGGGCAGCGTATAACGGTTTCATTGGCGTTTGCATTCGTGCTAAAGGTGACCAATTTGATCAAATCTAACTTATTCTAAAATTTGATGCTATTTCCGACATTTTTGGTTTCATACAATAAAAATAAAAAAAATAACTGTAAGGAAAGCAGTAAAGTCGGACGGGGCCGACTATATGGTACCCTTCACCATTATGGGTATATTAAACAGGACTATTAACATGAAATTTGATGAACTAAAATATGGGATATTTATCTAAATGTGAATCGACTTAGATTAATCCATAAACATGTTATTCGTTTGCTACAATGGCACAAAAGTATGTAAATCGACTTCAAAGAAATATCAATAGGACATCCGTTGGCATATGTCTGTATATCTAGAAAATGCAACTACGTTATTCTATGCTCAATTTTTCTATGCTCAATTTCCTTGTTCAAAATTTCATGTCAATGTGACAAACATGAGGAGTTTGATGCACCATTTACTTAAACTCGGACGAAAATATATATGGAAGCTATATCCAAATATGAACTGATTTCAACGAAACTTGTCACAGGTTAGGTTATACTAATTTCAGTACGTTTTGTTCCTATCAACCATTGGCGCGTCAATTATATAATCAATCGATAATATAAGGGAGCTATATCTAAATCTCAACAGATTTTAACGAATCTTGACACACATCATTCTGGACTAAATTCAGTACGCTATGCAATATAAAAACTTTGGTACATTATTTACATTAAATAGGACAAAAATATATATCACACACATCACTCTAGGCTCACTTCAGTACGTCATGCCAAATTTCGTGCAAATCTTTATATATAGGGACTTTGGTGCACCATTTACATTAAATCGGAGGAAAATATCTAAACCTGAACCGATTTTCACGAAACATGGCAGACATCGAAATATATAGGGTATTTGGTGCACCATTTACATAAAATCGGACGAAACTATATATGAGAGCTATATCTAAATCAGAACCGATTTTCACAAAATTTGGCAGACGTCAGTCTAGGCTCAATTTAGTATGCCATGACACATTTCGTGCAAATCGAACGACCTGTACTTTGTTTACAATTTAACACCAACAGACGGACAGACGGACATGCATAAATCGATTTAAAAAGTGATTCTATGCATATTCTCAAAAGGAACCATGTGTGTATCTCGTCTCCTTTTGCCTGTTAAACACATATGCGCAAAGCATAATACTCTGTATTATGCTTGTTGCAGTTTTTTATCTCACCCGGTATTTGCCATACATATAATTTATTATGTCCTACAAAAAGATGTTTAGTGCCCCTCTTGTATATAGCCAGAGTGGCCAGGTCCACCAGAGTCAAACAGCCAAATATTTTTAAAATTGTCCCATGGTTTTAACTTTTGTCGTCTCTGGATTTAGATATTTCGGCCTATATTTTAATTGCTGTATATGTTCATACGACCCTTCATGACATGATTGGTATAACTTTCCTGTAGAATATCTTGAGTTTTTATGCTTCGAATATCGAACGTAATTTATTTATACTATCTACCTGTGATCCAATAAATTTTTCTTAAAGGCAATTTCAATTTCCGATTAAACTAATTTAATTGATACAATTTCGCATGTGCACATAAAAACCAAATATAAATAAATTCCCATATATCTTTTAATCGTCTATACTAGACAACAAAACAATTTTCGACACTTACCTCTGTTTGAAATGTACAAAACAGGTGACACAAATACGGATGTTTTGTGCCCAAGGCCAAAACTTTACGTTCTATCAGCGTTGAGTCGACATCGTCATCTTCGAGGACAACATCTTTTTTCAAACATTTAACTGCATAATAATAAGTTGTATCACGTAATTCAGCTAATAGGACCTAGAAAAATTAATCGGTTAACGATAACATACATTAAACGAAAAAATATGTCGCTGTTTGGAAACTTACTTTGCCAAAGCTGCCTTTACCTAGCACAGCTAGGAAATGAAAATCATCAACTGAATAATTCTTAAATCTAGGTATAATTGTGGCTGGCGGTGTAAAACGTCCGGATTTTTGGAATTGTGAATATGTATATGAAGTTTCTAGAGAGGGGGGAGAACATTAGATAAAATTAAATTCACATAAAAAATTAACTAAATAAAGTTAAAAATATAAACTTAAAGATACAAAGTAGTGATCACTTGTTTGCTGGTTAAAAATTTTTCAAAAATAATTATTCTCCATACCATCTTGTTCTTCATTTGGTTCAATTTTATATGCTGGATTTAAACTGGGCGGCGTACTGGGTGAATCTCTGGTTTCACGAGCACCTGTACAACAAAATATTATTAAATATATATGATTGCATATTTTTTTTTTGGCTAGAACATGTCATATAGACTTCTCGAAAAATATGAACATCACATAATTATTTTTGCACACATGTGTTTTTGGGGTTTCAAGGAAAGCCATTTTGGCTTATTTTTGGGGTAATTAGAGACAACTATAGTTATTGCTTTGTTGAAAAAATCAATTCTTGAAGGTTTGCTGCCAATTTACGTCAACAGTTTATGAGGTTAATGACAGCCGATGCTAATGATACTAGAGACGACAAACTCGTGGAAGTCGGTCAAGGTTGCAGTAATGAGCATCATTATGTTCTATACCTTTACATTTTCTATTTCATTAAAAATAAATTTCTTTGTTTATTTATTTTGTATCTGTTGTTATAACGACTATGTTTTGTCTGTTGCGTAGTGTTTACGTTTCGTCCAAATACGGAGAGCAATGTATTCTCTATGTTTGGTATAGTATTTATAACATTACTAAAAATGATCAATATTTTACGGAATTTGGGTGCGATTTTTATTCAATTTGACTGCATTTTTTTGCATTCTCAATAGTGGCCTATGTTTCCGTGTAGCACCCATATACTGGTTCATCTAATTATTCGGCATGTTGGCGGGTTGTGGCACATTTTTCTACCAATTTGGCTGTAATTTTATATTTTGAATTCTTATTGAATAGAAAATCTCCATTGGCCAATTTGCCTCTACACAATTGTCTATATAGATCGACTTTTCATATAGGCCCCACATAAATATTTACAGAAATTATACAACATATGTTAATGATTTGGAATAGCCCCCACACAAAAGCTCTGTTTAATTATCGGTTTTCCTACCTAAGTGACTGTAATTTTGGAAAAAATAATGTATAAAAAGCAATTTCTGACCCGATTTAACGACGTTTTTACTTTACTTTTACTTTTACGGAATGGGGAAAAGAAAATCACAAATGTCAGATCGGTCCGCAATGGTGAAAAAGCGTTAAGTTCGACCGGACCGAACTTCACCATAGATATACTGACAGGTACTAGAATTGAAAATATAGGGAACATACCAAAAAGTGGACCTATACCGACATTTCTAAAAAAGGGATTATGTAAACCATAATACAAATTTCAGAAATTTTTAATGGATAATTATACCCTCAGTCTTATGGTTAATGATGGTGTATACAATTTAACACGGTGAAAATGTGCATCACCGAAATATTGGTTCTAGACCCCATGTTTCTTTGGACAAAATCCGTTTCAGAAAATTAAGATTCCATCCAAACTTTGCCCATATTATTATTTCTTCCAAATTTAGTTCAAATTCAAAGATAGGGAACTCCTTCTGGAACCTCCACACAGGGCGAACCTTACGTTATAATTTTTTATCTCGCTATCCTCCGCAGGAGAAATGATTACAACAGAGTCTTAGAACAAAACACAAAACGCGGAACAAATCAGATATTTTTTTATATAAAAAGGGGGTTATATGGGGACTACCCCAAAAAGGGGGCGAAAATTAATAATTTTTGGTAGGGAGATTTGTTACCATATACGGATACAAAATGCCAAATTGCAGCAAATTCGGTTAAAGAACGCGCTCAAGAACCCCAAAATACCGAAAATTGGAGGTACCCTTATATGGGGGCTATCCGAAAAAATGGACCTATATTCATAATTTTTTGTGGGGAGATTTGGTACAAAATTTCAGCGAATTCGGTTGAAAAACCCGCTCAAGAACCTCAAAATACCGAAAATTGGGGGGTACTCTTATATGGGAGCTATGCCTAAACGTGGACCGATATAGCCCATCTTCGAACTTGACCTGCCTGCAAAAGACAGACTCTATACAAAATTTTGGGGTTCTATCTCACAGACGGACAGACGAACATGCTTAAATCGTCATAGAATTTTATACTGACAAAAAAATATATACTTTATAGGGTCGGAAATTATTATTTCGATGAGTTACAAACGGAAAAATATCCTCCATACTATGGTGGAGGGCATAAAAATTGCACTATGTCCTTCAAACGGCCAATCGCTTGCTTGAGGTGATCGACACTTTGGCATTTGTTAGTGCCAACCTTACTTTCCAAAATACTCCAGACTTCGGTGGCGCGTGCTGAGTACGATAACAGCGTGCTGAGTACGATAACAGCGTGCTGAGTACGATAACAACCGAAGGTGCAAATTTTCAGCTGACCTCTTTGCCAAGTAAACACTATTATTTTGTTTGTTTACAAACTGCTGGACAACGAATGTTTTGTCATTGGAGAAAACCAAATTCGGTAGTTCACTGCTTTCGGCCAAGCGAAACAACTCTTTAGCTCTATTGAGTCTATTTCATTTCTGTTGCGGGGTAACTCCTTGCACTTTTTGGAATTCAATGGCTTTACCCTTAGCTCATTTTTCAATATTTGCCGAATGGAATATTGCGATATGTTCAGCTCACTACCCATTTTGCGCCACTACGACGCGGGTTTCGATCAAGTCGCCTCTTTCGAATCATTTCTGCTGATGTTGCTGTTTTCTTCCGTCCACTTCCTTGACGTCGGGCTACGCTACCAATATCACGGTAACGAGCGATGGTACGAGACACAAAAGATTTATTCACATTTAAATGCTGTAGTGCTCTAACGATAGCCACTTGTGTTTTTTCATCCAAATATAAAAAAATCGCACCATGACGCTTGAATTCCACCACGAATAACTATTTTTCTCGAAAATTCTTACCAAAATGCTTTTGTATGCTTGTAAACAATATAATGAGCTGTCACTGGAATAATTTTAATAGCTGTCGGACGAGTGGCTTGGGAATGACAGCAGTCTGAAGTTAGTTGCAGTTTTTCACATCTGACCCTGTATATGGAATACGCTTTTTATACCACTAGGACCATGATATGGGATTCAAATCTCAAAGTACCTAATTGAAGATACTTCGGAAAATGCATTTCCGAGCATTAAAAGATCTAAAAATTGTCGGGGTTGCTATGGTGGCTATGTCAAAATATGGTCCTTTTATGCAAAATGTTTTTCAAAAATTTATTTACAGGCTCCTTGGTTGGAAAATGCCGCTAAAATATTTTAAAAACCCGCAAGGAAAGTTCAAAAGTCGATCGGGGCCGACTATATGATACCATTCACCAATTTGGGTACATACAAAAGACACAAGTCCGTACTGTACAAGACACAAACATGTACAATGTCCTGTAGATAGAACAGACATATCATCTTCGGAGCACCATCAAAATAGAATCGGACGAAACGCGTATTATTTGATGCACAATTTATATGAACTTAGAAGAAAATATAGAGCGGCTATACCAACATCTGAATAATATATTATATGAAAAATCCAATACACGTTATTCTATGTTCAATTTGGTACCGTACACCAGGGACGTACGCAGGGGGGCGGCCCGGGGGGCCCGGTCTCCCCCCGAAATGAAATTTTTTCACAGTAAGTTTATGTTTGCAACAGCGAATTTTTTCATTTTGTACTACCGGGCACCATTAAATAAAATCAAACGAAACTATATATTGATGTTGTATATAAATCTGAACCGATTTCACAGACATCAAGCTGGATTTAATTTAGTATGCTCTGCAAAATTTTTGTTTCAATCGGACATATGTTGGGAGTTTGGTGCACCATTTATATTAAATCGGACGAAGCTATATATAGGAGCTATATAAAAATCTGAACCGATTTCATCAAAACTTCGCATGCATCAATCTGAACCTGTGTCAGTCGCTGTGCAAAATTTTGTCATAATCGGACAAATATTGAGAGTTTGGTGCACCATTTAGATTAAATCCGACGAAACTATATATATATGGGAGCTATATCTATATCTGAACCGAATTTTTATTACAATTTCAATTGGGTTTGTTCTTTGGCCAAATAAGTGACTGGTGCAAAACATCATCCAAATCGCTTATACATGCGACGTGCACTGTGCTCACATATAGAAAATGTGGCTAGGGCCATCAGAATATTGATACTTTTTTCAAAAATAAGTTTTCCACCCTTCAAAATCACGAATTTCGGTTAATGTAACCATTTTTTGTGTTCGACAATATCGAATTTTATAAGAAAAGTTTTTTATCTGTTCGTGTGGTGTACACGAAAACTCTCGAAAGAGGCCCAAACAAAATCATAAGATTCTCACAAAACATAAATCCCGTTTGAAATTGTAGTCTATAGGACCACTTGCTCAAGTACCGAGGGTAGACCGCACACAATGGTACCTTCGGTATTTTGGTTTAATATTCTGTGTTATCATTGGATCTCATTTTTTTATCAATATCGGTAGAAGTTTTGGTATAGCCCCAATATCAGGTTACCTCCAATTTTCAGTATATCCGTCCAAACTGAGTGTCTGTAGTTGGGAATTTTGTGCCACGGATATTTATTTGGGTTCTAAATAAATGTCCAATTGATTATAGATATTTTGAATGGCCACCTCATGGTGATGAGTATAAAAAGTTCTGTCCGGCCGAAATTAACATCGTTTTTACTTGTTTAATATTACACACTCTGTTTTATTTATGAATTCCTGTGGACAAAATAAAATATTACTTAATGTTAATCATAAAATATTTTAAAACATGAACGAATATCAAAATAAGAAAAATATTTTGCATATTATTATGAAAACTTTGCGCGCCCTCTCTATAAATCATGTGATGTTCATATTTTCTTCGGTCGTATTCCTTTATCCATGTAGAAGATGCTATATATCTGCCTGTCTGTCGGCAGACATCTTTATTTTAATTTTTGTTTGTATACTTATTATCTTTTGTTTTCAATTTTTTTTCGTTTACCTCTTTTTACGTTGGCCAAAGCTTCAACAATTAATTTCTGATTGACGCCACACAAATTGGCCGTAAGACGTTCACATTTTTTGTGACAATTCACGTCACATTCTGGAAATAAAAACCAAACAACAATCGTTCCAAACAAAATCGGGAGAGAGAGAGAAAAAAGGAAAAATACCAATGAGTATATAGTTGTGTTATATTTGTTCGGGCAGTGGTTGTGGTCAGACGATTGGGTGGCCATCAAAAACTGCCACCGAATCATCCACGTCACCACCACCCATGCCCTGCTGTTGAATTTGTTGTTGTTGTTTTGTTTTTTGTTTAGACAATTTATAGATTTTTTTTAAATATACAAAATAATGAATTAATTGAATACACGTTTTTCTTTGCTGAGTTGGGGGAGTGTGGGGATTTTAATTTTTGGTTATTTGTTTTTAAATTCCTTTTCTGTGGAAAATGAACAAATGCCAGATTTATTTATGTTCTATTCTATTAGTTTATAAATAAGAATTATACAAAAATGTAGACTAAGTACGTTTGATCAGGGATATTCCAAGAATAACATTGTAAATATGTAAATATTTTTAGGTGAACAAGAATTTTGTAAATTATTTTTGTTATTACACATGAAAAATTTTAGATGTTAATGTAAGCAAGTAGTTCCGAATAGAAAATATTTCATTGTGTCTCTCTGCAAGAAATGTCAAATGGAAGATCGAAACCAACGGTTGGATCTTTTCGGTTGAAATTGGAAAGATAATGATAATTTTTGGCCGACATTTTCAGCTAAAATATTATAGCACTATACTACTAGCTACTGTTCCGTAGCCAAGGCCGTAAGTCCTGGGAGAAATCGGAAAAAAGAAGACCATGACAATTCGAGCTCTTAAAAATCGGTTTTAACTAGAAAACATGAAATGTATATGTCGTCTGATTTAGAGCCCTAACTACGCAACTGACATAGTACCCTTTAATAGGTTCGATTTCATGAAGTTTAAGTGTCCATCTTATAGTTAAGCATATAGAAAGTTCGGTACGTCCGAATATAACGACATTTTACTTGTATTTTTCGATTTCGATAATGGAAAACAATTTTAGTAGTGTTGGCGGTTTATTTGGGATACCATTTGTATTTTTTTGCAAAATAGTCAGGCTGGATTCCACTTTGTTGTTTTTATAAAAAAACAACTATTTATTAGTGGGGGGATGTATGACATTGTGCGCCGACGTTTTGTTCCTAATGGTCATATTTTAGGTCATACTTAAAATCGGACGAAACAATATGGGAGATACAACTAAATTTGGACGGATTTCAACAAAACTTGACACACCCTTGGCTAAACAATTTTAAGTACGTTGTGCAAAATAAATCCGAACTGGTTTCAGCAAAACTTGACACATGTTATGTTACACAAACTTTAGTACGTTGTGCAAAATTGTGTGGCAATCTGCCTAACTTTGGGTCTTAAAATAGGACAATTTTCAGAAACTTTACTCACATCATTCCAGACTCAATTCAGTACGCCATGTCAAATTTCGTGCGAAATTAAAATTAAATCGGGCAAAAATATATGGGAGCTATATCTAAATCTGAACCGATTTTCACGAATCTTAACACTCATCGTTCTAGGGTTTATTCAGTACGCTATGCCACATTTCGTGCAAATCGAAAGATATATTGGGACTTTGTTGAACCATTTATATTAAATCGGTCGAACACATATATGGGAGCTATATCTTAATCTGAACCGATTTTCAAGAAATTTTACACACATCATACTAGACTCAATTTAGTACGCTATGCCAAATTTCATGCAAATCGGAAGATATATAGGGACTTTTGTACACCATTTACATAAAATCGGACGAAAATATATATGGGAGCTATATCTAAGTCTGAACCGATTTTCAAGAAATTTTACACACATCATTCTAGGCTCAATTCAGAAGGCTATGCCAAATTTCATGCAAATCGGAAGATATATAGGGACTTTTGTATCCCATTTACATGAAATCGAACGAACATATATATGGGAGATATATGTCGACTTAGAAAGTGGTTCTATGCATATTCTCAAAAGGAACCCTGTGTCTAGCTCGTTTCCTTTTGCCTGTTACAAACATATGCACAAAGACATAATACCCTGTACCACAGTGTGGTGAAGGGTATAAAAATATAAATTCCAAATATCAACAGTAGGCCACTGTTGATATATGGAAAATGTTGGCCACATTTTCCCTTTGAAGTAGCTCTAATAAGAAAATCAGGGTTCTTGGAGAATAAAATAGAACCATTGCAGTAACATGTTTTGACACTGGCCCACATAAAGATCCCACACTTTTTTTTTTGAGGTTAGAAGGTTTTAGAAGCAGTTTCACATCAATTTGGTATTTTTCAATCGTATTGGCTCAAATTTGATATTTGGGTTCCGGACATCAATATATGCCGAAAATATTAGCCAATGTTTGGACAAAGCTCAAATAGGCTCAAAAATGTACCGTCCTGCTGTCGGTATTTTAAAGGGGTTCGCCGCATTTTCCCATTGAAGTGACACAGATTTGTGTTGAACTACTTTGATATGGGACCAATTTTTGAAATTGTCCGACATAAAGGTGCTGTCACATTTTATGTGTTTTTAAGATTTTAGCAACACTAACAGCACATCTATGCCGAAAATTATGGGCCATTATGGGCCCATGTTTTGTCCAAGGCTCAATATGGTACCAACCGGAAAACCTCTAATTTGGCATTTCAAGGGTTTTGAGGCTGATAAAGATCTGCTCAAAAAAGGATTATTATACATAGGTCCATGTTTTGACATAGCTCCATATAAAAGGTCCCGTACAATTTTCGATACTTTGAAGGCTTTGAACACATTTTCCAACCGAATGGCCTGTAATTCGGCATTCGGGATTCCAGAAAGTAATTTTTATTGGTCCATGTTTTGGAGGCTGGCATGCACAAAAAATTATAATTATAGGTCTTTGTTTTGGCATTGCACTCAACTGTCTATATCTAGATGGATTTAGTTGCTCTGGTTTGACAATCCCTGTTCTTGGTAAAGAAAATTGGAAAAATCGATTCAGATTTAGATATAGCTCCCATATATATTTTCGTCCGATTTAAGGTAAATGGTATACCAAAGTCCCTATATATCTTCTGATTTGCACGAAATTTGGCATAGAGTACTGAATTAGGTCTAAAATGATATATGTTAAGTTTCGTGAAAATCGGTTCTGATTTAATTATAGCTCCCATATATATTTTCATCCGATTTAATGTAAATTGTGCGGCAGAGTCCCTATATATCTTTCGATTTGCACCAAATATCACACAGCATAACGAAGTGGTTCTAGAATGATGTGTGTTAAGTTTCCTGAAATCCGGTCCAAATTTAGATATAGCTCCCATATACATTTTAGTCCGATTTAATGCAAATTGTGCACCAAAGTCTACATATATCTTTCGTAATGAACTTAGTATAACCTAGAAGTTAGAAATAAATGCTGCACCGGACTCCCCATGTGGGTCCAATTAGCACAAAAATTTGCACAACTTATTGAAGTTATTATGAGATAACGTGTAGCAAGTTTTGTTGAAATCGGTTCAGATTTAGATATAGTTCCTATGTATAGTTTCGTCAGATTTTAAGTAAAAGGTGAACCAAAGACCCAAAGTTATATAATTTATATAACCTAGCATGTTAAAAGTATTATTGAAATCGGTTCAATTTTGGATAGAGCTACCATACAGATTTTCTCCCGATTTTAAGTAAATGATGTACCAAGAACTCAAAATGTGGCCGATATTCTGCGACAAGTTTCAATGAAATCCGCTTAGATTTTGATATAGCTTTTATACATATTGTTACGAATACAACTTTAGATTTAAGTTAATTTAGATGAATTCCGTTAATTTAAGAATTTGAATTGTAACATAAATTTCTACTACGCAGTTTATTCGAATAACTTCACAACAACAACTACTGTATAGATTTTTCTACATCCTTCCATTTTCTATTTTGTTCTTGACGTACAATTCTTGTTAAACGTCATCATTGATGCTCGCTTAATTCCTCTTTCTTTGTTACTCCCTCGCCTGTATATGTGTTGTTGTTATTGTTCACTCAATGTAAGTTTGTATGTGTTTGTTGCATTGGTAGATTGTTCCAAATCTAGGTGTTACCAGATCGTCTAGAAACTTCTGTAGCGACAGGCAGGGCTCATATAAATAGGGGGAATGGCAAGGCAGTTAGTTAGTTGTGAATCAGATCGCGAATTGAAACCATCAAGTAAAGTCAAGTGCAAAGTAAAGTTGTGTCAATAAAATCATTGTAATAATCGTAATCAGTAAGAACCCGCGTTTTATTTAGTACGAACTGTATTGGGAAATAAAACAACGTCTACACGGGATTAAGTAAAATCTAAGAACGTAACAATATTTTCGTCCGATTTTAAATAAATGGTGCACCAAACTCCTCATGTTTATCAGATATGTGTCCAAATAATTAACGGGTGTCCGATTGATTATGCTTTAAATTGATTTACATAATTTGGTCCCATTGTAAGAAGCAATTCTATATCTGACCAAATGACAAATTTAGTATAGGTTGTAGAAATATATGTTTATGGGCCCAATTTCATTTTACTGATCTTTCAAAAATGCGATGTATCTTGAATATATCCAAAGTGGTGAAGGGTATTATATAGTTTTACTGGTTTACTGGTTTTTAATATGTAAAATTTCCCAGTCTAGTTTTTCAAACTTAGTGTCTGTAATTATACCTTACACCACTATGTTGTCAGTGTGTTATAGCATTGTACAGCCCCAAGAGTTTGTAAAGTCGCGAAATATTGATCCTAGACCCATCTTTAAGTATAGCTGAATCGATGTAGGTATGTGTGTCTATCCATCCGTCCGTCTGTCCATTATAATTTGTAAACTCGATACAGGCCACAGTTATAAACCAATCGTCCTGAAATTTCGCAATGACCAATGAAGATGCGTATAGGAGAAGGCCGATTTGTATTCTGCTGACGTCCATAGAGAAGGCCGAGTATTTGATAGTAAATTGATATAATTTGAAAAGAATCGAAAACTTTAT